TCGTTTTAGAGTATGGTGAATATCAATAGTAGAGCATCCCGATGGACGAGATCGTGATAGAGCAGCAGCTTGTGCAGGATCTCCTTGAAATTTATAGAGCCATGGGGATTTCCGCAAGGTCCGCTAAAACAACGGCAGCGATTCCCGAGGTGGTGCGAGCAGAGAATGTGATGGCCGAGGAAGCTGACAAATTTTGGGAGCTCATTTGTGAGCAAAAGCAGAAAGCGGAGGAGAGTCGCGAAGAGTGAAACACCGAGAAATGCCGTGAAGAGCTCGAAGCTCAAAGACATGAACACAGGAAGACCGAGGAGAGTGGAAAAATGAGGAAATATTCCCTCAGAATGGAAGAGCTTAATCGTAAAATTGAAGTGATTCAGCGGCAGCGAGCACAATACAGAAGTGAACACGTCAAAATAGACGAGAACATTGTGTCTTTTCTCATCAATTTTGAAAAGATCGGCAAAGATGTTGGTGTTAGGCCAGACTTTTGGTCGGAAAAGCTTGCCACGTAACTTCCGTGCATCGCAGGCATATTGGAGCGCTTAATCACGGAGGAAGCGCATGACATTGATAGGCTTAAACACCCTTTGTTCGGCCACTATGCTGCCCTCAGTCCTGTCGACTGCGAAAGTCGAGAATACAAGTAAAGCACTGAAGCGCGCAGCAGAGCGCTAAAAATCTAGGCCCATCGCAAAGCGTAGGATGCCGACGTGTGTACGAGAGAGCGAGATGAGGCGCAGCGTAAGGCAATGGAGGTGGACGTGCGTGAAAATGAGGCTCGCCGAAGAACGCTAGAAGTAGAAGCGCGTCAATAAGCGCGTAAAGATAACGCATGCTGAAAAGCTATGAAGGCTGAGGCCCGTCGCGAAGCACAAGCCACTGAAGTGCGCAAGAGAGAGCGGGACGCCGAGGAGAGTCGCGAGGCGCCTGAAATTGAGGCCCGTCACAAGGTACAAGACGCCGAAGTGTGTCGGACAGAGCCAGACGCTGAGGTGCATCGCGATAATTTAGGGGCTGAGGGCCATCGCGTAGCTAAGGACGCTGAGATGCATCATAAAGCGCTAGAAACGGAGCTGCTTCGCAGCGCACGTGATTAGAATGAATGACGTCAAAAAGAGCAGGAGGCCGGCTACGAAGGCCTAGGAACAGGGGCTATCCTGGAAAGGGAGACCGAACCTTTACGAACTGAAGAGACACCTTCAGGCGAGTTGATTGACTTTAAAGGCATCGGAAATCCTGTTCTGTCGCAAGAAGAGAGAGCTATAAACGGTCCCGAAAAAGAGCTAGCTAACCAGTCTAGAGCTTTGGCAGTGCCTGTCAAAGGCAATGCACTTGAAATTAAGTGTGTCCACATTGTGTATTATTCCCGAGATACGTTGCTCGTGATGCTATTTGTTTTTAGCTCAGTTTAATCTGGAGGAAATATTCTCGTTTCTGCCAGTGTGGCGATTTAATTGATCAGCATTTAGATGGCGCTTGCTTTGGCCAGAGTGGTTTGGCTTTGTGCTCGACTCCATCGTTCCTGGGATGCTCTGCGGGGCTGTAAAAGTCACCACGGGTGGAGAGAGCAGAACAGCTACAATTATCAACGGTCAACCTGCATCTCTCCTTGCGAGCCGAGCTAGACGGCTCGAAACTCCGGATGCATTGTCTGGCGGCGGGGAATGCTGTTATGGCACAGACATGGTCCTCGTTCGGGAGCGCTTCTTCCCACGAGAACGGGCACTGTTCCGGCGAATTCTCCCCCCTCCCAGCGCCACCTTTACGCAGACGGCGGCGAGCTACCGTGTAGTTCTGGGGAAACTGGTGGTGGTGGTGGTGGTGGTGGTTAGAAGAGGAAAAAGGCACCTAATTTCTGCAGCCCAGTTGGGAGCACGGCGCAGTGCATGTGCTTCCTCCGCCGAGCCACGTTACAGAACGCCACGTGAAGTTTCGAGGAAGGCTTCTCCGCCAAGCACCGGGAACTGGTCTCGAAGAAAAGAAACTAATATGTTATTTAAGACCTTGCCAGCCCCATGTTTGGAGGGGTTTTGCCCCAGCCGGACGTCGTCGTGCTGGCCGGCTTTGTAAAAAGTATAACTTGCTACAGTAAGCGTTCCCACCTGTTGCTGTTTTCACAACGATTGCCTCCCTACTCCGCCTCTGGGCGAAGGCTTCAGCGAAATCTGTTCGACTGCTCGCCGCTCTCGGCTACCGCTACCATCGCAAGAAAGCGAATTCCTAGCAGTGGTGGTAGCGGTGAGATCCATCATACCCGAATTCTTAACAGTAATGGCAGCGGTGGGATGCCATCAAACCCGAATTCGTAACACCAGGCTATCTGTCTCGACGTGGGAGCGGCCCGCTTCTTGCTAGTTCATGTCCCGACGTACTACAGACACTGAGCATTCCTATCTATCTATCTATCTATCTATCTATCTATCTATCTATCTATCTATCTATCTATCTATCTATCTATCTATCTATCTATCTATCTATCTATCTATCTATCTATCTATCTATCTATCTAGCCGCCTACGTCCAACACCCCCTACAGATTCCTAAAGGCTTCTCGATGGTTGCAGAACATCACGCCCTGTGTCCACGCGGGAGTGGCGTTCCGGTATTCCTGAGCGTCGAACTCGCTTCTACAGGTGTTGTAAGAGGGGGGAGGTGATTCCTAAATAAAAAGAAGACAAAAGTGAGCCCCGTAACTGTCTCTCAGGGGAAGGACACCTCAACAGTAGCTCACGAGGGAGGGGGATAAAGAGGGATTAAAAAAAGGATAGGAGTTAAATGTATAGAGATAGAGAGAGGAGCAGGAGGAGAGAGAGGCACAGGGATAGCCACATACGAAAGTAAGGTGAAGATAGGAAAGATTGACACGGTCGCAGAATTTTGAGGCACCACTCAGCGAGAGCTCTTGTCGGCGGCAGGAGATGGCGTAGGTGCGCCAGTCGGCCAGAGCTGCGCTGTCGTCGAAGATCACGGGGACACAACCAGTCGGCATGAAATCTAGCGAGCGAGTCCCAGTTGTAAGCGTCTGTAATGAGTGCAATGTACTATGTCATGTGTTTGAGAAGCTTTTCCGGCACAAGGGAAGCATTCTGCAGGTAGTTTTGCTCTCGTAAGAAGAAAGTATACGACACCAGCTAAGCTTTAACCTGCGTGCGCAAGAAAAGAAAAAAGGTAGTTGTTTTAAAGGTGGTACATATGAAACACTTTGCGTAGATATACCTTCTGAATAGCTGTCTCTTCATTCTTATGTATACGTGGTATATGATGGCCCCTCCACTCTCCCGCTGGGCCTGCTGGCCCACTCAGCTGCTGAGCTATTCCGCTCTACTGTCAGAGATTATTGCGCAACCGAAATTTGTGCTGCAGATCTTGACAATCCATAGCGTTCTAATCAGGTGTTCTTTTTGATCGTATGTGCGAATAATCAGTTATGTTCTTTTCACGTTTTTGCACTGTGCGTTGTCAATGCAAGTTGAATAACACAAGATGGTGAAAATTTACGCAGCCCCCCCACCTATGACGTGCTTCATAAGGAGATCATGGTTTCGACACGTTAAGCCCCACGGTATTATTAATGAAGCGCGATAAATATCCAATAAAGCCATGCAACTGCAATCATACGCTAACATACCGCAGCGCCCTCAGGCGCGCTTCGAGCAAAATAGCATATATGTTCAGCCTATCGCCACGGCACTTCTTTGCCGTGTGCGGCCGACAAAACTCTGACGCATTGCAGCAAAGTCAATACCGAGGGCTGTGCCCCCTCATTTTTCCACCGTCAGCGCCCACGCTGTTTCACTAGAAACACTATAGAGGTATATAAAAACGGTGTTCTGATTTGACGGCACATCTAGCCTTGCGAGGTGATCAGATAAACCCGCCGCAGTCGTGTAACGGTTACGTGGTGATCGGTTGGTGACACGAATGTCCGTGGCTTTGATTTCATACACTCTAATTAACTGCTGAGTAAAACGGGTGATTTTTTACAACAATAATCATCATCTGGCTTGCCTGAACTTTCTTGAAATCGTGGCTCTGGCCACTTGCCTGTCATAAATGTTATCTCACGCTGATAACGCGCATGACACTCAGTGCCAGAATGGGCCGGGCGTGTGGCAATATATCAAATAACGCAAAACAGATAAGATTACTGTCGTGGGAAATAATTACACCCTGTTTCTCGATGTTTTCATATGATGTAGTAATATTTGGGGGGGATAAACATCCCAAAACAACGATGTGGTTTTGAGGAGTGCTGTAGCGGCGAACTCCAGAAATCGGACCAGCTGGGGTTCTTTAGCTGCACCTCAATCTACGTGGACGAGCTTCCAGCGTTTGAGCCTCTGTGGAAAATGTATAGGCGGCTGCTGCTGGGATTTCGTACCATGACTTTCGGGTCAGCAGTAGGGTATAACATAACCACTATAACACCATAGTGAATGCGTGTTTGATTCCGGCCGCGACGGTCGCATTTCTGTGCCGGTGAAATGCTAGCAGCCCGTGTACTGCACAATGTGTGCGTATGTTCAACAACATCAATGCCAAAAAGTTACGGGGCGCTTCACTACAGCTTGCTTAGTAATTATATCAGAGTTTCGGCACGTGAAACCCGAAAAGTTTTGCAGACAATCACCCTGCCCGGTTCCTCGTTTAAGATTACCTTTAAAACGTGACAATCTGTTTTAGGTGAAGCGCGTGCAAGCCGTTCGAAATACTGGACCCATCAATTAGGCGTTCTTGCCGTTGCATGACACAATATATCTTTGTGCCGATGCTGCTGTCACAATCTGTGTTAAAATTTCGTGGGACGTTGAAGTTTTATATCAGTAAACAGCGATCTACACATGTGCCCGTGGCGAAGTTCGATCGCCTATCTTTTTCATGCCGAAGTGCTTGACGTCACGAAAACGAACGAAAGCGATTGGTTAGAGCATTTACGCAGACTATATCCGCATATGAACGGCGATAGTTGCGGACGAAGCTCCCATTTGTTGCACGTTTATAATCGAGTACACACGCAACTTTGTCGGGCTCGGGGTTGCGAAGCGTAATACCGAGGAATGGACAAGGCTGAAAACCTCTGGAGACTGAAGAGAACCCGCCAGCGGTATGAATCAATCAGTGAATCCCCACCTAAGAACCCGAAACGAGGAAGCGACGGGCGAGTGCTTTTTACCGGCGGAGGCATCCAGGAGATGATGCAGGCGACTTTGTCCGAGATTACTAATACCGTGGCAACCGTGAAGGTGAGTGCTGTGGTCCCAGACGTCCACAACGTGATTTAGAATTTCTGAAGAGTGGGAGGCGTAACTGTTTTCTGCGTGGCTTCCGTACGCTACAGCTGCGAATCCGCAACCGCCGTGATTTGTAGTTGTGCCATAAAGAAAATACCGTTTAACAACTCGTTTCGCCGAAACATTCGCATGTTGACGTTGTGTGTAATGCGCACAAAAATGGGTAAAAATATGAAATAATCAACACCACTGGCCCGAGGAAGGTATAATTGAAGTCAGCCCTCCTGTTGGGAAAACAGGCAAGCTCTTTCATTGAGCTTGCCAGCTTTTAAAGAACTGGGCTACCCTTAAGCTTCGTGTTTAAAGACACTCTAAAGACAACTATTGAGTCGACGTTTATTGTTGAAATAGCGGTCCATAAACCTCGTGCTTCCTTAGCACTTTTTTGCCAAGGAAGGGCCTATTTTGAAGAACAATTACGTTTTAGTGGTCCGCATCGGCTTAGCGCACTTCGAATCGCCCGCCTCAAGAAGCCGACCGACCGGACCGATTCACGTCACTGTTGCCGTGCACAACGTTGCCCAGCTCTACTGCGCTAGTAGCAGCAGTCGAAAGCAGCGGGAGCCACAGCAGCAACAACGGTCATTGATCAACTTCCCGCCATTAACTTCGAGAATGTAGGCGTTTTTTTTTTGTTTCAATTGCACCCCGCTACTCACGCCTTTCCCCATAATAACGTCCGGCAGTTCATTTTTCCGTGAATTAAGCAGGAACGAACAAGTAGCATTTTATTGCGTCTCTTGATGTACGAGAGGTTATTTAGTGCAGCTAGATCGATCATTAAATTGTAGGCGGTCTTTCTGATCTTATCGGGATCATTTTGAAAATGTCCTACTGCGGCGCTTGTGTTCTTGTGCATTCACTTTGATTTCTCGGTAAGTGGGGCACTGTTAATAATATTGCCGTTTTAGATGTTGCCCTACATTGAGCTTTCACTCTTTCGTAAACTATTTGACATTATAGTGTTCCTTCAACAGTTGAACGCGATAGTGATATTGTGTCTTTAGTGCGTACTTACCACTCATTGCATACCGTTTGTATGATAATACTCGAGAAGTTTAAGTTGTGCATTACTACAATGTAATTAATAAATTTGAAAGGGGCATGTGTCAGTGAAGCTTTCTTCGCATATGATGGCATTCAGTAGCATACTTTAAACCGCGAACAATTACGTGCGTGAAATGCTTTCGAACTTGTCATACACACACTATGTGGTCTTAAGGAATTATGTGCGGTAACGTATGTGCCTTTTGAAATGGGTGGATTGCTTTAAAGGGACACTAAAGGCAACTATCAAGTCGATGTCGATTGTTGAAATAGCGCTCCATAAACCTCTTAGTGTTACGATTGTGCCAAGAAATGGCTTATTTAGAAGCGAAATTTTGTTTTATTGGTCCGCATGGGTCAGCGCACTTCAAGTTATTCGCCTGAACGGAACGTCTGACGTCACTGTTGCCGTCCACAACTGTCCCGTTTTTATAGCGTGGTCGCCGACACTATGGTAGTTGCTCAGGGAAAGTAGCCGGAGCCACAGCAGAAACAACGGCCATTGAATGATCTTTAGCCATGGCCTTCGAAATTGCAGGTGTGACTGGTACGACGGGGTCCCGCTAGATGGCACGATCTTTCCAGGTTAAGCACCTGAAAAGTTCGAACCACTCGAGCCATTCCTCTAGTAACGTCCAGTGGTTCTTTTGTTAATTAATCAAACAGGGACGAACAAGCAGCATTTTATTGCGTCTCTTTATGCGCGGAAGTTTTTTTTTATTTAGTGCAGCTAGATTAATTACTAGTTACTAATTCTAGGCGGTTTGTCTGACGTCACCAGGATCATTTTGAGAATCTCCTACCACGGTGCATGTGCTCTTGTGTGTTTCCCTTAAATTCTGCGCAAGTAGGGTACTGTTGTTGATAATATTGTCGTTTTGCACGTTGTCATACATTGAGCATTCCCTCTCACGTATAATGTTATTTGTCTTCAGTGTCCCCTTAAACCACAAAGCCATTAGATAATCACATGCTCTGACACCCGACGGCGATGTACGCGCGCTTGTTACAGAGTATTACTGCGATATTTCATGTGTTGTGAAACCTGTGCACAGCCCGTGTGCTTGTAAAGCAAAAGTTTTCAGTGAATTTCTAAGCAGATGAAGTGTTTTCTAACCAGGCTCGTGGCTGCGTAGTGCAACACCTGCTTGTCACGCAAACGACCTGCGCTCAATCCTGAGTCAGGTCCATAAACTATTAGAATTTATTTTATTGGCGTCTCAAGTTTTCGGTCATGGACAAGATGATATCTCATTCACAACCAACAATGCCCACGCCGACGCCGGAATTTTCTTCCAAAGCAGCTTTTTAACGCTTTCAAGTTAAAAACGCATTAACTTAATTTGTATGGCAGCACCAAGGAGGACATGTGAGAGCGTAACCAAAATAACACCAATCATCAATGCAGTGCTATAGTTACCTGCAGCAGTTCAATCAATCAATGCAGTGCTATAGTTACCTGCAGCTGGCGGAAGCATATTCGTGAATTCGTGGTTAAACAGCCTGATAGAAGGACAGTTAGTGCATCCAACTATCTTGCTCTTTATGTGAAAGGCTTCTGTTATTTTGCGGCCCGTATACCTACTTCCTTCGATAAACTGTCGCATCATTAAATGTGGGTTCACAACCAAACTCAGAAATCCCGTGGTATTGGAAAGCGATCAATCATGTTCCCTTAGTGACATCTCGGGAGACAACGCTCTTGAGGACGTCGTCTGTACGAACAGGGTGCAGCTGGTTTGGAAGCCTCCACTGCAGTGTTGACAACTGCTTTTTGTTTCGTCGTTTTTTACTTAGCACATTCGGTACAAATGACCATAGGTTAACACAAAAGACATAAGCACCAAATGGCAACACATTGAGTACAACTGACCATAAGCTAACACAAAAGACGCAAGTACCAAATGGCTAGCAATCTATGTTCACAGCCGGTGAAATGAACTGCCTTAGTGAAATACTCGACCCCGTTTCAGGAACAATTACCACGAGAGTATGCACATCAGCCTCTCGAGTGGTTGACCACTGAATCACAGTCCGAAAGCAGAGAGGTCCGGCCTCACAGCTCACGGTCTACGAGGAGAAACCCTAACCCATCGACAGTTAGCAAGAGTCCTGATAAGGATGACAACAATGCAAATACTCGGGGTAAGTTATCTTATGACTGACAATGATACGACTGTGGTTTGACTACCAGTATTCTCACAGCACCTTAAGCATTATCGCTAGTGCAGTGGTAAACTATAACATCTGCATTCAGAAGAGCCATTTATTTTTCTGTCGCTTATTGACAAGGCTACGTTCACCGTCGCAGATCTAAGAGGTATGGAGTTAGGTCCAAGCGTGAGAAACCACATAAAGAATCGATCCCAAAGCTTAGACAATAATGAAGGCTTTCGAAGGCTATCAACAATGTTGCCGTGTAAACCTTCTTCAACTAGCATAGTTAATATTAACCGAGAATATTATTGAGAGCTTATTTGTCAGTAAAGTGGCAGTGTCACTAATGGGAAGAACGTCATCGAACATACTCTTGCCAGTTTCAGTAGATTAAGGGTTGAAGTTAATGTGTTACTTCACTGTCACGTGAATTAGGCAGACCTTGAAATACACTAATAAATAATTTCTTTTTTATAAGTTCACTTTAAATGCAGTATCTTTCATCTCTGCATGTTGTGCGTTTGGGTTGGTACTCTTGTTTATACTGTCATTTTTTGTTTTGTTTTTTTTCACTGTCAGTAATTTCGTTTGCCCAACCTTCAGCGGTACGAGAGGAATCGACTGTGGCGTCCGGCTCAGAGTTGAAGCCCGTTGTCGTCAGTCAGAGTCGCCTGGCTACGGAGAACGGAAACGACGGTTCGGAAGAACATTTTCCCCGCAAAAATGGCGCTAATGCATTGGGGACACGTTCGCACAAGACATCAGCGAATGGGCAAATGACTATGCAAGAAGACTGCACAAGACCCCATTCAGATGAGCAGGTTGCCCCTTCGAGGAAAAGGTATTTTGCTTAATAAAGCAATCTTTCATACTTGTAATTAGAGTAGACGCAATTTAAAACGTTCATTTAAAGGCGATTACTTGTGTTTAGAGTGACAGCGACTCTTCAGTTTTGCAGTCACATATTTGAATCCAACTGACAGAAGTTTGTGCTTCACGGTGACCCAAATAATAATAGAAAGAAAGACGACACGTGAACACCGGTCGCACTTCGGTGGTGGCGAAATGAGAGAGGCCTGTGTACTGTACAATGCCCATGCACGTTAAAGAACACGAAATGGTCGAAATTTCCGGCGCCCTCTAGTACGGTGTCTCCCACAAACAAAACCTGATTTCGGGACGTAACACCTCCTATACTTTATTAGGAGGACACATCAACGGGTACGTGCAAATTATCAACTGCGCTGAAAACTTTTTTTTTTGCACGAAATCTTTTTGTGGTGAGTGGGAGCTTGTGTTCACGCTACACTTAACTTGCCATCGTAATACCCCCGTAACGCTGATGTGTTCCAGCAAGAAATAATTAAATCAGTAACTCTTTTTAGTGGAGCTTTTTGTGGAATGGTTGACATTGCTTTGAGTCCTGAGGGATAATCGTATCGCGATTTGTATATTGAACGTCATAACAGCCAATGTAGTCGAAGTTAGTCCATGTCTCCAAACTCAGTACGGCTTCTGATCATGTTGCGGCGTCGGGTCTTGAATGTGAACACAAACTTCAGATGAGTGTTGTGTAGAAAGCTATGCGCACCCATGTGCACTATCAAACACGTGCAGACCAGGAAAGCGTTCACGCTTGTAGCAGCAGCACGTGCTACAGAGATAAACGAAACAAAGTAAACCAAAACTTTCTGCTAAGGTGCACGTTGTGGGCACGTATGAGCAGGGATGTGGTCACATTTTAGCTATAGGAATGCTTATTACTTAGAACAGAGGTTCGTTTACCGAGAATATTTCACTGTTTCGTGCAAAGGCACAATATATATGCCTGTTTTCTGCCAGTGCTTAACACACAGGTAATCTTTGCGCATAAATCCACAAATGCGCACACACCAACTGTGACGAGGTCAGCCGATTTTGATTAACTCAACCTGTAAGTTGCTCGTGAAAACGTGGGTGTAAAAGCAGCTGCCATGTGAACAGTGATATGAAGCGGTGCCTCGACGCGCAAAAGAACGAACTGCGCAGTGGTTAAATGTCGACCGCATAAGAAAACACAAAGCACTTCCTCGGTCTCCCACTCTTCTTCTTCGCTTAGCACGGGAGGCTCGAAAACTTAGTGAATTCACCGCTGCAGGTGACGAGGGACGACAACGTAGATGCATACTGTGCAGCTGTGTCACGGCGAGCGCGCTTCAAGAAACGATGGCCGGCTGGCTGTCGAATCTGAGATTCACGAGCTCCTATTTGCGTTGAACAAGTGACTTGCTGTATAAGCTAAAACATAAAAAATGAGTATACCCACTACAAAGTCCATTAGCCATGTCTTCTTTTTGATGTATACTTGCACACTGAGCATTCATTTCCAGTATTCTCGTAAATTCTTCAGATTTGGATTCAGTGTCCCTTGTTTCTGCCGTAACAGACTATATATCCTCAATGATTACTGCTTTGCAGTTCTGGTGAACAAACCCGACTGAAAGAGCGCCTTCACCATTTGCGTTCTCGATGGCGAGCTGCGCAGCGAATTCTGGACGAGATTGGCGCTCGGTTAAACGGCGGGACTGCTGATCCAAGTGAACAGATAGATAATCCCGCCGTTCAAGCTTACAGGTAAATGGAAAGCGATGGTTTTGCTTGTGAACGTGTTAAACACTGCCTTAGTGATGTTGCGGGACTACGTTTTTGTGTACTTGTTCTTAATAATGCTACGTTACAGTGCTTGTTCTTCTTTATTTATTTTACCATAAATTCCCCGGGGACCGGGAATAGATTGGGTATCCTTGAACAGGAAGTGTCGCTGGAGCAAAGTTCCCTAAAAGCAGTTGTTTCCAACGGTGTCTCTGTGTTGAAGAACTCGAACGCATTCGGCTTCAATGAACGCTCAAGGATTTTTCAAGTATATACCTACATTCTCCTCACACATGTTTTATCTTGCACATGTTTCGTCTTCAATTCTAATTTTGCATGTAAAGAAAAGGGTGCTCGCGTTTTTACCATTCCTAGTATTCATGTTTTCCCACGTTCGGTGCGCCTATAGTGCCCTCTTGTTTTGTCTCTGCCAATGTATTTTTTTTTTCGCTCGATTAATTGAACCAAAGCTATCTACTCTCTGTTGCTTGTCTCAGACATTTTTGTGAAAGTTATAGCTGTGCCTCTTTCATTCATTATATACCGACAAGCCGCTACACGAGCTCTTCTATCGAAACACAATGTTAGCAAGAAACACAAGGGGGCAAAAGCCCTATTGGTTGTGTTATGGTCGTTACCAGACATTGAAGCTTAATGTCAGCTGGTTCTTTCGCAAACTTTCTTCAACAGCGCACCAAACAGACACAGACAGCCGCAAACTTCCAAACTACTACCACAGGGTTTGTTTCAATTTGTTGTTTTTGCTTTTTTGCTAATTTTACCGATGTCATCGTTTCGCTGTATATTACTTCAAGAACTTCTCTCTCTTTTTTTTTCCTTGGAAGCGGAGCATTTCTTAGTCGTACGTTGTCGCGCTTCGGCGTAGCCGTCCACAACCCCACTGTGCATGCTCGCGTCTCGTGCGGGCCCAGGAAGACACCCGCAAAACTGTCGCTTCAGGAGCCATTAAAGGACAAGACACCACCATGCGTTCAGCAAGCCGAGCATGCGCAGTGGGGGTGTGGACCTCTCCCCCGTAATTCTCTCCCTCGAACGTGGTTGGTGTGTAATGATGATTTATATGTGGGGTTTAACGTCCCAAAACCACTATATGATTATGAGAGACGCCGTAGGGGAGGGCTCCGAAAATTCAGACCTCCTGGGGTTCTTTCATCATCATCATCAGCCTGACTACGTCCACTGCAGGACAAAGGCCTCTCCCATGTTCCGCCAGTTAACCCGGTCCTGTGCTTGCTGCTTCCAATTTATACCCGCAAACTTCTTAATCTCATCTGCCCACCTAACCTTCTGTCTCCCCCTAACCCGCTTCCCTTCTCTGGGAATCCAGTCAGTTACCCTTAATGACCAGCGGTTATCCTGTCTACGCGCTACATGCCCTGCCCATGTCCATTTCTTCTTCTTGATTTCAGCTATGATATCCTTAACCCCCGTTTGTTCCCTAATCCACTCTGCTCTCTTCTTGTCTCTTAAGGTTACACCTACCATTTTTCTTTCCATTGCTCGCTGCGTCGTCCTCAATTTAAGCTGAACCCTCTTTGTAAGTCTCCAGGTTTCTGCTCCGTAGCTAAGTACCGGCAAGATACAGCTGTTATATACCTTCCTCTTGAGGGATAGTGGCAATCTACCTGTCATAATTTGAGAGTGCTTGCCGAATGTGCTCCACCCCATTCTTATTCTTCTAGTTACTTCAATCTCGTGGTTCGGCTCTGCGGTTATTACCTGCCCTAAGTAGACATAGTCTTTTACAACTTCAAGTGCACTATTGCCTATCTCGAAGCGCTGCTCTTTGCCGAGGTTGTTGTACATTACTTTCGTTTTCTGCAGAATAATTTTAAGACCCACTTTTCTGCTCTCCTTGTCTAACTCCGTAATCGTGAGTTGCAATTCGTCCCCCGAGTTACTCAGCAATGCAATGTCATCGGCGAAGCGCAGGTTACTAAGGTATTCTCCATTGACTCTTATCCCTAACTGTTCCCATTCTAGGCTTCTGAAAACCTCCTGTAAGCACGCGGTAAACAGCATTGGGGAAATTGTGTCCCCCTGCCTTACACCCTTCTTGATTGGTATTCTGTATCTTTCTCTATGAAGCACTATGGTAGCAATTGATCCCCTGTAGATTTCTTCCAGAATGTTTATATATACTTCATCTACGCCCTGATTCCGCAGTGTTTGCATGACGGCTGATATTTCTACTGAATCAAACGCCTTCTCGTAATCTATGAAGGCTATGTATAGTGGTTGGTTATACTCTGAGCATTTCTCTATTACCTGATTGATAGTATGAATGTGGTCAATTGTTGAGTAGCCTGTTCGAAATCCTGCTTGTTCCTTTGGTTGATTGAATTCTAATGTTTTCTTTACTCTGTTAGCAATTACCTTTGTAAATAGCTTGTATACTACAGAGAGCAAGCTGATCGGCCTGTAATTCTTCAAGTCCTTGTCATCTCCTTTCTTATGTATTAAGATGATGTTAGCGTTCTTCCAAGACTCTGGTACTCTTCCCGCCAGGAGACACGTCGTAAACAGGGTGGCTAGTTTTTCTAACACAATCTGTCCTCCATCTTTCAGCAGATCTGATGTTACCTGATCCTCACCAGCAGCTTTGCCCCTTTGCATGCTCTCCAAAGCTTTTCTGACTTCTTCTATCATTACTGGTGGGGTGTAATCTGGGTTACTGCTAGTTCTTATAGTATTAAGGTCGTGGTTGTCTCGGCTACTGTACAGATCCCTGTAAAACTCCTCCGCTATCTTAACTATCCTATCCATATTGGTTGTTATTTTGCCTTCTTTGTCCCTTAGTGCATACATCCGACTTTTGCCTATCCCAAGTTTCCTCTTCAATGCTTTGACACTTCCTCCGTTTTTTAGAGCGTGTTCAATTCTCTCCATGTTATACCTTCTTACATCGCATACTTTACGTCTATTAATCAACTTCGAAAGCTCTGCCAGTTCTATTTTGTCTGTTGTACTTGACACTTTCATGATTTGACGCTTCTTAATTAGGTTCTTCGTTTCCTGTGAAAGCTTGCCAGTGTCCTGTCTAACTACCCTGCCTCCAACTTCTACTGCACACTCCATAATGATACTCGTCAGATTATCATTCATTGTATCTACGCTAAGGTTGGTTTCCTCACTGAGAGCCGAGTACCTGTTCTGCAGTGACACTCTGAATTCCTGTACTTTCCCTCTCAGTGCTAGCTGATTGATTGGCTTCTTGCGTATCAAGTTCTGTCGTTCCTTCTTCAAGTCTAGGCGAATTCGAGACCGTACCATTGTATGGTCACTGCATCGTACCTTGCCAATCACTTCCACATCCTGCACGATTCCAGGGTGTGCACTCATTATAAAGTCTATTTCGTTCTTATTTTCGCCATTAGGGCTCCTCCATGTCCACTTGCGGTTTTCTCGTTTTCGGTAGAAGGTATTCAAAATCCGTAAATTATTGCGTTCTGCGAATTCTACTAGTAGCTCTCCTCTGGCGTTTCTAGTACCGATGCCATAATCTCCTACTGCCTGGTCTCCAGCCTGCTTCTTTCCTACCTTTGCATTAAAGTCGCCCATCACTATAGTATACTGTGTTTTTACCTTACTCATTGCCGATTCCACGTCTTCATAGAAGCTTTCAACTGAAGCGTCATCATGGCTGGATGTAGGCGCGTAAGCCTGTACTACCTTCATCTTGTATCTTTTATTCAGTTTAATTACGATACCTACCACCCTTTCATTAATGCTATAGTATTCCTCTATGTTGCCAGCTATGTTTCTGTGAATGAGGAACTCCACTCCCAGTTCTTTGACGTGCACCCAAATCTGAGCACACGGGCCTACAACATTTCCGCCTTCATCGGAAATGCAGCCGCCGCAGCCAGGATTCAAACCCACGCCCTGCGGGTCATCAGCCGAGTACCTTAGCCACTAGACCACCGCGGCGGGGCCTGTGGTTGGTGCGTATATAAGCGGAGAAGCGCGCGTTCGGAATTCAGTCAAGGGCGTCTTTACATGGCTTTCGCTTGACTTGACGCTTTGCTTGACTCAAGTAGATGCGATGGAAGAAACAGTACCTTCAACCAGTAGCGGGACAGAACCTAACATCAGCGTCCCACCACTCGTTGAAAGCATTGCTTCTCCATTATTCAATAAATAAGAATAGCAAAGACACAAACACAACTATGCATTCCCAAATTATACCCAATTATGCAATATTCACGTCATACCCCACCCCACCCCCACTCTGCGACACATTTACTCGAGGTCCGCCTGTGAGAAGATCGGGGCGGCTTTTTTTTTTTTTGAGCTTGTGTTGTGTTGCTGCGTTATGTGTTTATGCCTCCCGATCCTGCCTAAGGCCTTCATGGAAGGCGGGAAGTGTGTAACAGAATTATTGCAAATATATTGATCGTCATGTACCAGCTAGCTGATCATGTAGTACCAACTCGCTCGAAACCACACCTTGTTCAGACACCGAAGCTAAAGATCAGGGACGCCTCAAGTTCTTTCATCGCCGCGATTCAGAACTGCACGAGGTGGGCTGTCAGCAGCTTGAGCGATGCGCAATCATCGTAATGCCACTGGTTCATTTCTTTCGTTTCTTCACAGAGAACAGCGTTGGGGTGATGCGCAGCACAAAAAGAGGGCACTTTCCGAGTCTGCACCATCCGTGCCTGCCCGGACTCGCGGACCACCGCGATCACGCTCCAAGCCCGACAGCCCGGTGGAAGAAAATCCTGGAACTCCTACACTCTTCGACGGGATGTTCAAGAGGCCACAACCGGTGTCCAGGAGGCCTCGAGGAGCTCAGTCGCAGCGTCACGATACAAGGACCAAGCCTCGGAGCTCTGTAGTCGCAACGAGCACTGCGGACACATTGGAGCGTATCTCGAGGGCTGGCAAGCAATCGCCACCAGTAAGTGCACCTATATATGCCTAAAATAATGCTGTGTAAAAACTTCTGGACCCTTATCGCCTTTAGGGTTTCACCACGATAGCGATATTCTGTTCCTAGTGCGTACTTCAAACACGCTACTGATTACAGAGAATGAACTGGGGACAGGGTATCGCCATCGCGTTCAACTCGCAAAGGCAAAGATTCAGAGTCCGTAAATTTTTCTCAGTCGTAGAATTACTAGCACCACTCACACGTGGCCTATTACCTACAAAATAAAATAAGTCAAACTCAAATGTAATAAGAAAACTACAGCGAAAAACATATAACTCTCGGTATAGCGCCATCAGAGCGCACTAACAAGCTGTAGTATTAGTAGTCATTGCAACCCAATGTCCAATATCTTGGACGTTGTCAAATTCAGAATGAATGCAAAACACTACCACATGTTTTTCTCATATATGAATTGATTTGCGTGCTTCAACTTCTTACGAACGCAAATCAATGCTCAAATACGCTTTAGGACATCTAAGAATGAATATTCGTGAAAGCTATTCGTGCTAAATCTTGCCATTTTGACTGCTCCCGAGAGGCGGGAGATGCACCGACTTCCACCATATTCCCTAGATGGCTGCACAGGTTTCACAAGCAGCCAACAGCATGTTTTCTAGGAGCAGGCAAGCGCTTTCAAAGCTGTGGCACGCTGGATCCCTATGCCCAAAATATTGGGCATATTTCTAATATAGAAGGGTCTCGGGAGTCCATAGACCTTAGTAATGAAGAGGAGGATCCTCTCCTTTCTCGGTTGTTGCGCGGGAGCACAAAAACTGACATCACAGCCTCGGCAGTGCATTTCTGGAGGTTTATGCATGTTCACCACAACAGCCCGGAGAGGTCTAAGGCAGCACCCAGTTATCCCTCTGGGAAAACTTCTGTAATTTTCTTTCTTCTTTGCTCATTTGCTCTATTATGTAACACCTGACGAAGCAGCAAGCACTTTATTTGATGCCCTTCTCATCAGGCCGAGTTATATACATGCGACATCAACCAACAATGACCTTGCAATCGAACCGGTACAAACCTTCTCCCATGTGCAGGCACCGGTGACCTCCGTCTCGCACTACCTGACCGGGTTCTCAGAGTTTCTGCACGAGAAGGCCCCTTCCGTCTTTCCACATTGGCGAAGCTTCGAGCGTCTCGTACTGGACGTTCGTCGAGCTATCCACGAAAAGCCTGCGGCGGAGCTGGACTCGTGGTGTTCTCACAGCGAGCGACAGCCCTGCTGGCTCCTGTCCTTCGAGGACACGTTAGCCAGATTTGTACTTTTATACGACATCGAGATGGCGGTTATTCATCCTGGATCTTTTTCGATGCATCACGTCGACAGAGATTTTCTCAAGAGAGCCAATGCAGAGGCAATCCGTGACAGAGCGCGTGAAATGGGCATAGAGCCCGAGCGTAAGTGCTGTACAGTATAGTGTTCCGATATGTAGTCCCGGGCAGTTACACGAACTTTGGATGTTCACAGAGACTCGGCTTTAGATGAGCCCTGGAACGCGTTCTCGAGTAATTTTCGAATGGCTTCACCAAAGAAGTAAACTGCCTCGCGGATCAAGTAAAAATCATTTTAGGATCCGTGAAGTACGAACGTAGTTACAAGGATTTGCCGCATGCTTCCTCTCTCAACACTTGCGAAATGCTTTTCCACGATGTGCCGCGACGGTTGCGTGCATCGTTAAATCTGACAATGCGTTGAAGGCATAGGCCAAGATGACAGCGGTTACTATTCTACTACCCACTGGTGGTACCGAAAAATGACTGCGCGTCACATCGGGGTTGAACAATGCAACAATCTTCACGGCCTTGAATGCGTAATGACGCAAACTAGGATTAAACTTTGCAGTGACATATCTCGGAGCACAAACAAGCTCTATTTTGAATACCCTGTTTTATGGTAAGATGTCGTAGAGGGTACAAAAGCACAACCTGCAGTGATCTAAACCAAAGCTGCGAGATATGTTTGAACCAGCCATATGTCATAGGTGTGAAAAGGTCAAAAAGTCTCGAGCGTGTAGTGTCGTGGATACAATGTTTAGACAAATGGCCTTGTATTCTTCAAAGCTGCGCCTCCGAATTTCCACCCATGGAGAAGACCAGGTCACTTGCGAAAATGTTGACTCCACCGACAATCCATCCTTACTGGCAGATCTGTGTCGTATATCTATGCTTGATCATAGTTACGTACATGTAATATGAAAATACAAGTCTGAATATTTAAATTTTTTTCCGGTACGACAACAGTGTCGCGACACTGTTCTCATCACGAAATCGAAATGCCTCTACAGCTCTGAACACGTGTCCTATTGCAGAGTTCCTCTACGAGCGAGAATGTCTTATCACGTGGCTTCTGCGAGCGCACCGGTGCATTCTACGAGTGCGTCTGGACCTCACCGAGGTGGCGCAGTCTCCTGGCGAGTTCTGTCGGGGATATCGCCTCCACAAAGACTACAAGATTCTCGAACTGGGAGTCAGTGGGAAAACCCTGCTTAGAGGGCGCCACCTCTTTCTGTTTCTCGGTCACGTGACTCAGCTCACCGAACTGTCGCTCTTCGGACTGTACCTGACGCACCCAGACGACGATTGCCGCCTCGCCGCGCTAGTCGCAAGCAACGTGTTCCTGAGGAAGCTCACGCTAAAGATGTGCCATATCGCCGACAGGTAATAACAGCAGTAAGTTGTAGAGCTTTACGTGCCGAACCCATGACTACGAGGGACACCGTAGTGGAGGGTCGCGACAATTTCGACTATCTGGTGTTTTTTGACGTGCAGCTAAATCTAGATTCACTTTGTCTCCGTCGAAAGGCGGCCGCTGCAGAGATCCGATTCAGAACCATTCAGTCAGCAGACGTGTGCCGTAACAACGTAACGAGTAGTTCGGGGCAGGTTGCAGAGTATTTTGAGTATGGGATTGTACTTACTGCGTTCAGAGGGTCTGTTTCATTGTGGCGTCCCCCTTGGTTACTTACGACTAAAGTGCATTGGTAATGTGGCACCGCGACGTTTTTTTTTAATATGGTCGAAAAGTGCTACCGGTACTAGAGGGCCTAGAGAAAACGTGAATCAAGTGTTAGCGTGGCGCCTACGGTATGGAATTCACCATTTCAATGTGAGAAATGAATCACACTCTCCTCTGTAAACGTATGTCGTAAGCCAATATTACCACGTCATAAGCACACATACCTCGCCAATTGACTTACTTTTGGTATGTGCAGTCACTCCGACCACCGCGCCATGCTGTGACGTGCGTGCACATGAGCTCTATATTGGTAGAATTACGCGCCATACAGAATTACAAGTATACAGTTACACCATCAGGGTCTTGATCACACCGGAAGTAAGCCGCTCGTTTCAATAAAAGACCCAAGAAAGTGCTCAAGGTCATGGCGTGAACTAGCGAACGGATGTAACTTCTTTTCTTCTTGTCATCCCTCCTTACGTCGCTTTCAGCGAACTCGCAGGTACGAAATGAGAAAGAAATCACTTAGATAAAGCGCGTGAAACAGCCTTTTAATTGCACTCGTATTAGGCAAGTTACAAAAATGTTCCGGGCAATCTATTCAAAAGTGAAATATACAGCAATAATGAAGTCATTGAAAAGCGTTGCGGGGAGACTTTCGTATATCAAACGCGCGATACAATCACAGAGAGGTAAAACAAGGTGGTTTACTGTGGTTTAGAAAGCATTGGCTGTTAACGTGGCAACTTTATCAATAACTCAGAACTCATGTGAACGCCCCAAGAAAAATCTTTAAAGAACACCATACGGTATCGATTGTTTTGGGGGCTTTCACCGTGTTTTCACCGTGAGGTTAGGTCCGTGAAACGACGCAAAGGCAAGGCTTTGACGTCGTGGCATGGAAGACCTGAGCGCGGGCCATTATTCTGCCAGACAATAATAGTTTTTTGTCCATATTCAATAAAGGTATTTCATTGAATCAATATATCGATATGCACAACGCACCAGGCTCGTCAGAGCTCGAGTGGTGGCTCTAAGATTATTACGAAGAACTGAAATGAATAGAAACTTTATTAGCAATATGTTAGAAAACGACAGGATACAAATCAATTAATCGTTACTCAGGATGATAACTGTCAGTGTCCCGTGCCTATCACAGGCTGTAGCAAAGAGAGAAACTCGTGGAGGCGAGTCGTTCACAGTGGAGTTATTTTAAATAAAAGACAGGCCGTCCAGAAGGCCCACAATACGGCGGGACATTAAACATTACTGTCCAAAGTGGAAGTCACCTACGTCAAACTTATGGTTGCTCTTCAGGACCTGAACAAACTTCATCATACCAAACCTGTCATAATCAAATAGCTCATGATAAGGAAATAACGCTTTTTGTACAGGCAAGATAAGAATTTACATGTCCAAGAACGTCGATATAGAATACTTGTTCATTGCATCTGAAAGGTACACTGAATTCATTTTCAGAAACTTGGAAGGCCTTATTGATGCTGTTAAGGGTCTGCCGCTCCTCGAGTGCGTCTCCATCTCTGTGCTCGATCCCGAATCGTGCTTCGAGCGAAGCCAGCAACTGTCCCAACTCCTGGTCGGACCCGGGTGTAGAAGTCTGCAACAGGCTCATTTTGATGTTCCATGCGATTTGGGACCGATCTTGGAACGATTGGGTGAAAATGAACAAGTCGTCGAAGTCTATATCAATCAGCAGCTTACTACTCCTTCGGAGCTCATGAAACTCTGTGACCTAGTCAACGCAAACACTCATCTTAAGCACCTTTCTCTACCTATCAACATGGACTCGACTCTTCCTAGACGCTATTATAAGTTCGTATTAAGCAAGTTTGTAGAAAAAGCCCGAATGGAAGTATTAAATCTGCAGAATTCGTTCATCACAACACGAGGCATTAAAGCCATAGCGGAAGGCCTGAAGAGAAATGGCGCTAAGGAGGCTTCAGAACCCACTTCGGCAATACAGACCACTGAAAGCGACGTTGGTCGACAGCGGTATCTTAAGGCACTATATATCAGAGGCGACCTTACTTGCGAGCACCTTGGTATTCTTGTGGACGCACTGGACGCCAACAGGACCCTCGAAGTTCTTGATGTTGGTCGAGTACTGCCTTCGCCATCAATGAGTCACGCCGACGTGACGAGGAAGATTGTCGACCAAGCCTTTCGACAGGGTCAGTGCTCGACGAGATCCCAGAGAAGCCCCGTCGCCACAGTACGCGTTAACAAAGTGTACTTCGGCGAAGACTTACATCTTCTTATCATTGCCGTCCGCAACGATGTGACATTCCACAAGTTGAATCTCTTGTTTGGCGATTCTCCTACAGAAATGCTCAAAAGTCACTCGTTTGACTTCAGCCAGCTTCTAGCACTGTTACCCTTCTTCGCAGTAGCAGAGACGCTGGAGACATTGGAAATTCAAGTGTCTGTGCCCGGGACATATGACGTCGCTTTTATGGGGGTCTCTCTTCTCGCCGCCACGAGCAACAGCCTGACTGAACTCAACGTAACTTTGGCGGACTCATGCTGCGAGTTCGTCTCCATCCTGTTGCTCCACGGGCTTGCCTCCAGTATCTCGATTCGCTCGCTCACCATGAGTGGATGGTCACTGAAGCGTCCGGTGCCGTTCTGGTTCTTCCGCTTCTGCCGCATGAACGAAAGCCTGCGTAAGCTTCACATTCATATCACCAACCTGGAAGCCGACGACAACACCACATTCTACGAAGACCTGCCCGACGCTCTCGCGAAGTGCCGCTGGCTCGTGGATTTCAGGCTCACGTGCGGCAAGTTGCGTGAGCCAATATTCATTCCCGAAGTGCTATCCATTATTCGCAGAAACAAGCGAGTACAAAAATGGCCAGTTAAACTGGTCGCGACCGCTGAAGGCGACCCACAAAAAGTCGTGAAGCATTTCGACAAAAATCTCACACTCGACAAGAGCGTCAGACTCCGGCGTTCCATGGATGTTCCTGATTTCAAGCAACACGTTTTCGAACGTTTCATGTATTCCACGGATGTGATTGACCGAGCTATAGAAACGATCAAAAATTTGGTTTCTAGTACTTTGGGCCATCGGGCGAAAGTTCACCGCAGGGCCACTACACCGGGTCCTGGTTCGAATGTCAGGGACGAAGCCCGGACTGGCCTCATGGACGAAGCCACTCAGGAACGCCTTTTCAGAAACTTGCACGTTCGTGACCTTCGTGGTGTGAATTTTGATTTGAATGTCGATCATTACATGATGCGAATTTCAATGGTGAGTCACATGATGAGAACGGTTTACAACGAACAGCAGAAACGCTACGAAGACACGCTAGGCAAGCTCCATCAATGAATTGAAGACATTATAGATGTGGAGTCTCTGTGAAAATGCGGTCAGCGTTGCTAATGTGCTCATTATCTTATATTATAGGACAAACGGTCTTGTTCCCTCCACATAGATAAGTCATCACTGCTACGTCAGGATATGTGCATTAGATGAGCTCAAGATTTTCGTGGCGTTTTAAGCGTTGGCCCTGTGAATGTGCACATAACTTTGCAATAGAGTGCAGCTGTGAACCACTTTCACATGAGAGTATTAGACATGAAGAGCATAACTTTGTTTACTAAGTCGGCAAGCGATATTAGTCTTTGTTTTAAAGTACTAAATGAGCTTGATTCGAAGGTATCGTAAAGCTCACGTACATAGCTGCTTACATCGATTAAATTTATCATTAACTTCAATTTATTTTACGCATGACAAAGGACTTTGTCAGCGACGTCCTGCTGCCTGTATCTTGCCTGAGCTCATTCCATCGTGTGACTGCAATGTTAGTTTTTCCTTGTCCCTTGTACGGGGGCACTGTCCACTTCAAAAATGATGTCACAATGTCACTGAGCCCTATGTACACGACCCTTCCTGTTGACCCCGACTGTGCTTCATTTAGTTTCACTTTTAGTCAGTACTGCGTGTTCTGGGGCCTGCACAACTTTGTTCTTATATCTTACTGTTAACAAAAATACAGACTAGCCCTGATTTGCTCGCTTGCCTACATCCAGCTTTGCCTGTTTACTTAATTCGAAGATGATTTTGGTTCCTCTATCAGCTGTCTGTTCCTCATGTTCTTAGAGTCAGACTGTTTTAGTCATATCTTTGCACTGGTATTCAATAACCACTGTATACGCTTTGTTACGCCAGCGGAGAGGAGTTGGTATGTTTTAGTCCCCATCTATTTTCATCGTTTTGTAAGTTCATCTATCATGTTCGATGTAGTTTTAGAAATTGACGCAGGTGAAAGGCCTGGAGATATCCGTTCAACGACGTTTGGTAAGCAAGGCTAAACATGAAGCCCAGACCTACTGTGTCCTAAACTAAGCAAGTCGCGAACCTTGGATGACTTTGCCGTCAGCTCTTTCTATTGAATAAAATTTATTCCACCTACTTGTACCCTCCCTCGAAGGGAAAGCTTTGATTTTGGCACTGTATACTACGCCACATTTCTTTCAGTATCAGTGAATGTGGTTTTCTGTAAGAATTGCAATGAACAGCTTTGCAGATTGTTCAAGCCCGGTCCTTTCCTAAATTTTCTTTGAGTTCTCGATTGAAAACGCAACTTATCCAGGTAGTGTTTCCATTTATATATTCCACGTTGTACTCACATTGTAGCTTATGGTACGATAAAGACAAGCAAGCCATCACGTAGTTAATACTACCGGAGCTATATGATCTTTTCTTTGTACTAGAGCTGGTTGAATTTAGACGTTCAACGAAGTTTGCTTGTGTGGTTATACTGTGGCGCATTTGGTACAGGTACGTGGATATACAGCACCAATCTGTAACGCCGCTCTTATACTTCCCCCTCTCCCTGCCTTAATTTCCCGCCTGGTCTATGAGTCACCGGCACAGTTTGGAACATGAAGCGACATGCACCGTCAACGGGAGCCGGCTGTAATAATCGGCTAGGCGCCGGTTATTTTTAACGGTGTGGCATGTTTTATTCGACGCTGGTCTCGTAATCCACTTGTTCATTCCCATGCTGGGAAAATGTGAAATCTATATATAATGTGTATGTGCTTGCATTTTTGCGCTTTTTAATCTCATTGTATTCTAAGTATACGTCATGTGGAATATATCAATAAAATCTGAAATACTGTTTGACAATCGCATGTACATTTACAACAATTGCATGTTGGTTGTGTTATGCAAATCACCTCTTATGCATGCGTATGAGGTTCTTCGTTCTTGTGTAGCCGTCTTTATGTTCACATTTGATCTAAGGCAGTGTACATGAAACTCCAACAAACTCTAGCCAGATTTTAGGAATACGCCAATGTGACCAAATTATCTCGCTGACAGCAAGTAGTGAGCTACAGTCGTTGATAAATTTGAGAAATGGCCACTTAGACGCCAATCGTCTTAGTAACTAGTGAGTACTAGTGTTCTGCTTTTTTTTTGTCATAGCAATCAGCGTAACACAAAGGTGAAACGTGTCTTGACGGAGATAGTTGCGCGTATATTGTGCATTCGTTTCGCCACAAGGTTGAAGGAATGCATGCTATAGCAACTAACTGTAATGTCACGCGAATAACTGCAACCCGCTCGAAACTTGCTGTATACATTACTCGAGCAGAAGGGACGCACGAAAAGAGTATACACAACACGAGCGCGAACAACTGTCAGTTGTTTATAGTGTGGGGGCAGCGTGCTACTTTCGTAAGCGTGGCCACGTCAGCGAGGGACATGTCCTTCGTGTTCGAGACGTTAATCTCGAGACGTTGGAAACCATCCCACCCAAAGATTAGGGTGGGATTAGGGATTAGGGTGGGTGCACAAGCGGCCACGTCCTGTGGATGCGCGCGAAACGACGACCTTTAAGGCGCGCCCTCCAGATCATTTGCGCCATCTCGCCAGTGATAACAAAAATACGCTGAAGCCGCCACTCTCGGAGTGCCGCCAGCGGTTAATGTTTATAAACAGCTCTGCGTTAGCAAGCTGAAGAACGTGCGCTTTGTGGCCGAGTCGGTTCGCACAGCGCAGCTAAAGAACGAGATGTGGTAAGTTTGATTCCCAGCTCCGGAACGTTTGCTTAGTTTTTTATCCTTGCCATTCCTTAGTATATGTTTTACAACGTCATCTCCGTGACGGAAGTACCTCGGTAGAGCCGTACTGGAGCCCGACGCAAAACACTTTCGTTTTAAAGAATGGCACCTGATAGGCCCACTTGCGCGCCTTAATTTCAGTGATCTGTGATGTTCCGCGTACAAACGACGTAGTACCTCACGGAAGAAACATACAGACGATGCGGATATCGGTTGTGCTGCAGTATAAACAACAGACCGTCATCGCGTTGCCACCACGAACCGACCAAAGTAAAATATATATATTGCTTTCATCGGTTATAGATATATTATAGACAGATTACAGGTTATCGATAAATGCATCAGACTATGTATACGTAATCTGATGCTTTTATCTCCCGCTATGGTACCTAAAAATTTACTAATATTTCCAAATACTTTTGCAATGTTTTCTTGCCCTCCAATATGAAAGTATCATATCGTAGATGCCTTGCACTCAGGTCACTGAAACAGGCCCGTTAGATCCCCAACATGGTGTGACGCAAATTTTGTGATGTCACGTGTTTTTCAATACATCGTATGCTGGTTCACTTGTTATCCATGCAAGGAGATCTAATAACGTCCGAGTGGAGTCTTGATCACAGTGAAGAATGTTGATCACAGCGTGATTATACAGTCTTCATTCACGCCATCTTATGCACCATGTTATAGTAGTGGGGTGCTTCTGTGACGTCACGCGCAGTTATTGTTAGAAACTCGCCATGCGTTTTTGTCTGCGAAAGAATATTTTCATAACTTCTCTATTTGTATATTTTCACTGCGACGTATGTACATGATGGAATGTTATAACATTGTACACTTTACTAAGGTCCTGCACAGCGTGTCTCAGTAGGCAGTATAGGCCGCTCCCACATTGGGACTGGGAAGGCCAAAGCATGATGGAAAGAACTTTATTTACGTTCTATATGAGGTGTCGTCGCCTGCCTGGCTAATCCCAAATCAGGACCGGGAGGTCAAGTCTCCTAGGCCTTTCATGGGCGTACCGAATAGCCAGGACTTGGGGGATATTGTCGTGAGGCTTACTGATCTCTGTAAACCATTGTCGAGAATTGCCAGGGCCAAGCGACTCAGACTTTCAGAGCGTATGCTGAAGAGCGGACATACGCTTTCTTTCTTGTATGCTTTGCAAAGAGCATCCACATATTATATGTCGTACCAATATTTTCACTCTGCCGGAGAATATTATAAGACTGTGCCTGTCTTTGCTTAAGTGAGACCACTTGTGCTCTGTTTAGTCAAGCTCTATATGGCTAGAAACTTCGTCTTTCCTATTTTCAGAAGGACAGATCGGGGGCTCTCCATCCAGTCTCAACGAGTTGGCCCACAGATTTGGGCGAGGAGTTGTCGACCACGTAGCTACCAAACGGCGTGGCGATGAGGTTCTGAACGTTATGGATGCCCCAAGCGCGTACAATAAACTCGCAACATTTTTTCCGAGGAGACAGAAGTATCGCCTTCCGCACTGTAAATTGAACAGGAGCTCAGGCACTCAGAATTTGGCTGAACGGCGCAAATTCCAGTCCCGAACTCTTGCACACGTCTATTCAGAAATCCAGACGTCAAACACTTGCGTGGTTTGCTCACATTTTGCCAGGATGGATCACATGCTTTGGTGGTGGTCTGCATTGCGGGTTGCCGAGGACATTACACCATTCAAGTAGGATGCTGCGCTACGCAGTAACGATCTGATGAAACTATAGGCAGCCGAACGGACCCACGACGTGGCGGAGAGGCTAGGCTTATTTGTCTTGACTTGGGACCGACCCGTTACGTGTTCACACCGCCATGGGACCAAATAAGGTTTTGAATGCGAAGCATTTATTTGCATACTGCAGACACTTTGAGCGTTTCTCTCTTCGTACACCCATCTATCCTACGCCTGGATGCCTTCGTAATCATCTCCTCAACATTGGGGTAGACCAAAATGAGCGTGGGAGAGTAAGATGGTTTCACGATTGTGGCTGTCCTGTCATGACACGAATAATGCTAAAATCCCGTCACCTACGACCTCAAAGTCTTTCCTGCAGACACGTGTGGCACATAATTGCGGGCGGGTATGCGTCACAGTTGTTTGAACGTTGATATCGACCGAGGAACGGCGAGAACAGACATGAGAAAAACTGACATCGGCCCCGCTAACCAGACGAATGCAAAAAAAAATATATATATATATGTTGTGGTCTCCGCAGAAATCGAACGCAAGCATTCATACAAACACACATGAATGTCTACTACATACGCACGTACGAGCATACATGAAGTATAGTTGAACCAATCCCCTTCTCACCCACTGTAAATGGTTCGAACAAGCCCCATCTACCCTTTTCGGGGACTGAGCCACAGAAGCGCTGGGAGACTGCTCAGTGATCCTCGCGACCGAAACACTAACTTCGGCTCATGGACGGTGCTTTTAGGGTCACTGAAGCCACAGCTGGTATGGAGGCGCGCGCGACGGAGCGAGCGGGCCCCTCCAGACCGGCCATGCCGAAGCGCAAGAACTTTCGCCCACCTAGCCGCCCAAGGGCCCTTTGTTTTCTTCTATATTCAACTTTCCCCTCACATGACCCATTCTCGGTGTCAATATTTTATCCTCCTCCTCCTCCGAAAAAATGTCTGGCTACGCTCCTGTAAAAGGCAGTCACGTGGTCGATAAGTAATCGCCGTTGAATTTTTGTGCTGGTGGGGGGTTTGTGCGGCTTCTATTCGCGGTGGGCACTTCGCATTTTTGCGCAGAGTTGCTTGGATGACCGATTCACCGATCGGTCATCTGCGTATCGGCATGGCAAGCCGGCGGGCCAGGTGCCAGCCAGACAGTGCGAACAGTTCTGCCAACAGTTCTGCCAGTGTAATAAGTGAAGGTGAGCTATGCGTTTTAATATTTTTGCTGGAGGATTCGTCTTTCGACTGTAGCGGGTAGCAATGAAGTTTTAGTTTAGTTTAGTTTAATATTGAAATTTTGCATTAGCACAAGAAGCCTTCAATTGTGAGAACGAATCCTCGCGTTTTACGTGCCAGAACCATGGTATGGACGGATAGAATCACACCCGTCTTGAGCAGTGGACAACATGGCTCTGAACACTGTTGTTGGACGCAGTTTCGACCTCGCGTTAGCTACAAGCTTCCGTCCATGCTTGAAGTAGAGCCCAAGGGCCTAGCATGTGGCATGGCCATGTTTGGAGTCGTTATACGCCTTCGGTCTTTGCACACTTCTGCCGAAAGTGCCAAATGCAGCAGATGGCTGGGAGCTCTAGACCAGGAGAACGGGCGAACAAATTAACAGCGAATGGCTATCCTCGCTGGGAATAAATAGGATGACTATGACATGCTAGTCCTTTAAGAACTTGTTGCTGCGCTAGTTGGTGATTCTCAGGTGAATACGTGTAAATGGGAATCCAACTGGTTTCAACCGGTGTTAACTGGTATCAACTTGACCAGTTGGGAACTAGCTGGTCAGAGTTAATTTCAGTTGCATCTGGCCCTAGCTAGCAGTTGGTGTCAATTACATCTGAACTGGCCACCAACAGGTTGACCAGTTGAACGGGAAGCAGTTATACTTTCTCCTTTAGACGTCATCCCCTCCGCTTATTTATAATATAAACAGTATCACCTGATCTAATATGTATTTATCATAGTGGATTATTCCGTTGCGCAAGTAGGCCATACACTACGCCCTCAATATAGCTAATTAGTTATTAAATGATATGTATATTTAAGCATAAACACATAGCACATTCACACACCCAGCCAGTGTGTGAGTATGTGCGTCACGTCATTGGTGGCTGGTTATGCGTATGAATGTGCCGGGTGTTTGCGCTCAAGAACATTATTTTGGAGAGCACGGTCTTGTTACTCTTCCGTTTCTTTGCTCCCGCGAAGAACTTGGAACGCTTCTTTCCGCTCGACCGGCTTCCGTCGACCCCTAACATCAGTGGCGTAGCCAGGGGGTGGCACACTAGGCATGTGCGCCTCCCCCCCCCCCCCCCCCCTGTGAAGAAAAGTGTTTTTCTTCATTGCTTAAAGTGCAAGAAATGATCATTTCAAGAGGGTGCCGCCCCCAAAATCAGAGGGCTCCCCTCCTCCCTCCGAAAAAAAAAAAAAATCTGGCTACGCCCCTGCTAAACTTCGACTGTTTATTTGAAACAACGAGCCACCAGATATATCTTTGCATACGTGTATCGCTATCAACAATTATTGGTCCTAACTGCATATCGAAGAGCTAATTTCTTTCGAAAAGCTGGTCACACTCGTATCAAAGAGGTTTCCTTTCGTCATTGCATGTTCAAACAGCGCGCCTATCCCAAACCTGCTTTACGCCACTTCAAAAAGAAAAAAAAAAACTGCTTCAATGAGAAGCTGCCTTGATTGTTTGCGTCTTTTGTGTTGCAAGTTGTTTTAAAACTTTGGTTGAAGTAAGCAATGATTATTATTGAAACATCAATTTTACTCGTGCGTGCACTTGTATTCGGTAGAGCGGCGACTTTATGAACGGCTGTTTGTTTTCTTTTTTGTCATCCTCGCCCGTTACGGCTCCAGCGCGATCAATATGAACGTTTAAAGCGCGCGTAGAGGAGTTGCAGCATCTCTCGTAGGAAACAAATTTAAACGGTAAGTCATTATCTGTCTCTCATAAGCACTGTTAGAACGCACTGTCGTGCTCGCAACGGCGCTGAACAATGTTACTTAGTAACACTACGGACGCGGTTGGCGTCGTTCGTCCCCTACCATGTCCCGTGATGCGACGCGTCTGTGTGTTGGCAATTTTCGTTTGCAGCGGTATCAAATTGCCTCCTCCGGCTCTTCCGTCTTAATTGGGGTTCAGGGACCTCCCTTCGCGCGTGTGCTGCGACATTTCGCCCACGCCGGTTGGCGCGTTTCAACGCACGTTCACGCGTTGGATCAAACATCGAGAAGTAATCACTCCCGAACGCAGCGTGGAAAATCACACCGATCATCTGGTGAAGAGTGCGAGCTGTTTAGGCGAATCAGAAGCTCTACACTAAATCTGTCTGTTAGTGACAACTGGTGTTGTTTATAAATGCGGGTCTGGTGAGCCAACCTTCGTTTTGAGCCAACGGTTTGGTTCGCATCGTAACTTGTGATCACTCGCATATGTGCGATGTTCTGTGTGTTCCAAGGCACCTAGGATGCTTAACGTTTCGTTGAGACTAGCTTAGTACCAAACTGGAACGCTAGTGGTTGCCTTGTTTTCAGAAAAAAAAAAGAAAAGCGTTTTGTCGAGGTTCCTTAGGTGTGGCAACAACAGCACCTCAGAGAACAGCTGACGATTGCAAATAAACTGATCATTTGTATCTCTGCTCGTCTATCCATGTGGAGCAACTAGCGCCTTCTTGAGACACCACTAGCCTAAATACACTCGTTGAAGCAGTGATAGCGACTGTTGCAGCTTCGAAACTGCGTGGAAACTGCGGAAGTGTTGACGATGTTTTTTTTTTTTCCGTAGTGGACATGAGCCAGCCTATGGAGTCCGCGGCCCGAAATGGAGTGAGTAGTCCACGTCTTGAACAGTTTTGTGCATGTTTTCGGTCGTTGAAATGCCGATAAAGGTATTTGTTCCCCAGACTCGAAGATATACATTGCTTGTATGTCGCAGGGCAGCCACCCCGAGCGTAAAGTTCCGCGAATGAATTACTGATCCTGCGCTCAGACGGCTAGCCTTGTATTGTAATTTTGACGTTCTTGAAGACTGTGCCGATTCTTTCCTCAGTGCGCGAATTCGTACCTTCGGAAACGCCTCGGGCCGTCCAATCTCCGACCTGTTTTGATTGCGTTATTTCCTAGCTCGTCTTCACCAACGCAATTTGTCGCTACTAGCTGTTGATCTTTTGTAGGCTGGAGAGTTGGCAGCTGTATTAGTTTGCACCGTAGCCGTTTAATCTGGAATGTGAGCGAATCCGCGATCCGAAGGGTCGTGGGTTCGATTCCGACAGTGGCGGTCGCATTTCGGTGAAGTCGAAATGGTGGAGGCACGGGTACCGTGAGATGCAAGTGCACTCTAAAGAACACCCGATAGTCGAAATGTTTATAGCCTACCACTCTGGCATCCCTCATAATTGTGATTTTCGGGTTGTAAAACCCCGTATAATGGGAGCTTGCATTGTGATGATTATACCTCTCACTAATAAATTTAATGGAGTGAAATTTCACTGCATTTAAAATCTGTGCTGCTATGTGGCACCACTTGCACTGTTTTAGTAAGAAAATCTCTCTGTAATCACCTAAAATTTTGTGGAACTGAACACCACTTGAAATTTCGTGAAATTTTGTGCAATGTGTGTGGTTAAGCTAGAAACTTTATTCACTGCGGGGAGTCACAGGGATGATATAGTGGTTTCACGCTAAGAAATACGCACACTTATGCAATCCATAAGCATAAAACAGCAGGCAAAAGCAATTGAATGATTCAAGGGAGTAGAGAGAGGGTACTGTCTCAAAAAAAGATACTTTTTTCAAGTGCCCACACTAGAGTTTCAAAATTTGAACACATCTGTCCCTGCGCCGGCACTTCCTACATTGTAAGCAGCTGCTCCAGCACGTGAATGTCGCTGTGGTTTCTCGAAACAAGTATCTGCACCACCAAGTGTCAGGTCTGGGTGACAGTGACGGAGAGTAGCCACAGTGCTGACCCTTCTGGTAAACATCAGTGGTGGTTACAAGCATAGTCTCCTAATAATACTCTAGACAGGAATCTCGTGCTAATGTTTTCGGGAGCTGCAACGCATGATGCCTTGGCCTGCATGGGAAGGATGGTCACAGATTTGTCTGAGCTTCGTACTTACAGCTCTGTGTGGCCTGGAACTGCTAATGTACATCAGTTCTACTTCACCACCTTAACCTTTTTATGCCTACAAACTCAAATTGGCTCTAAAAGTTGTGACAATCGATTTCTTGTCTGGAACAAGCACCAAAGTACAGTGAAAAACAACTCCACATGTGCATTCAAAGACACAAAAACGAAGGTTAGACAAATTCGTGTATTACCCGTTATTCCTATGGCCTCTCTATAATTGGAGGGCCAGAATTCCCTTTAATAAGTATTGTAGAAAACGCTGTGGTTACAGGTAGCAGTGTCAAAAAATCGGGACGCAATGACAACTAGGCCAATTTAAGGAGGGAAGATATGATTTCTAGAAACTTTTGTGTGAGTGCTCTAAATAAAAATGTAGGCATGGAAAACGACAGAGTATCGTTGTGCTTTCGAACATTTTGAATATATTTTTAGGGCCACTGTCTTGAAAAGCCACTTCATAGTTCTGATATCCATGGGACAACTTCACATTGATAAGTCAACAGAGTGACATAGGCATAAGTCTAATGAGGACAGCAGTCTGTGACCTACTAATATTGTTGTGCATAGGCAATGATTAGTAAATGTGAGTCGCATGCAAAACACAGTTTGCAAGCCCAGTAAGTTGTGTTGACTCGTCACTGTAATGTCCGTTGCAGTGGCACTGGGTTGCAGATGCTGGGCAGTGAAGTTGAGTCATGCTACTGTACGACTTTGTATTATGTAATACCTCAATTACAGGTTTGCCCCTCCGCGGCCGTCTAGTGGCTACTTGGCTGCCGACCCGCAGGTCGCGGGATCGAATCCCGGCTACGGCGGCTGCATTTCCGATGGAGGCGGAAATGTATTAGGCTTGTGTGCTCAGATTTGGGTCTACGTTAAAGAACCCCATGTGGTCGAAATTTCCGGAGCCCTCCACTACGGCGTCTCTCATAATGTTATGGTGGTTTTAGGATGTTAAACACCATATATCAATCAATTGCAGGTTTGCAGATAAAAAAAAGCGCAATCATAATGCAGGAACCTCTTAAAGCAAAGAATTTCGGATGTTTACTTGTCAAGAGAAAGCTGCTTGTACATTTAAGTTTCGCCATGTCCATGTTAGGTTGAAAATCTGAATGTCGAAGTTGTGAGAGCTCGGGAAGCATTAAAGGGGCCTGCAACACTTTTTCAAGTAACCATGAAATGGATTCACTATAGGAGCTTATGTCCTCTTGTATTCGCCGCCGCAAAAACATTTGAATCGGTCCAGTACGAGTGGAGTTGCAAAGATTTGTTGCACGCTGCAATCGCATTCTCTTCTCTTGTCCCAACGAAAGCACTAAAGGCGAAGCAGGGAGGGATGGCATGGGGAAAGAAAATGTGTCGTGTGTGCCTCGTGACCTTGAGCACTTTTTCGATTTTTCTCTTTTCTTTGAATGCGCGACTTTTCAATGCGATCCTGCACACATGTGAACAAGATGCGGCCTCCTATGATGATTCCTGTAACAACCGAGCGGGCCATGTTCAAATCAGCCAATGGCTGATCCAACGACTGTGACGAGAAATTTTCGAGCTGCTTCAGTCATTTCTCAAGAGAAAGCAATTTTCAGCTGAGTTTAAGAATTTATTGTAAATTGCAGGTCACATGCTGCAATACTCCAATACTTGGCTCACGTGTTCTCGGGAGCTTCTATACTACCGATTGAAAGCGTTTCCCAACGATGCGCAAAAAATGGTGCAGGGTGCCTTTAATAACATTGCCTGCCAACTGCTATGGTACGGCAAGTGTAGTAGAGAGTAAAGAAATGTGAAAGGCAGAGAGTTTCCTAAAATTTTGTAGGGGGGACTTGTAGCGGTGATCGTTCAGCGACCATGGCAATGATGGTAGGGAATGGTAGGGTACACAGATTTGCCTAGTCTTCGTACTTGGGGGTGGCGAATCGTACTTGCAGCTTTGGTTATTGCTGGTTATCATTTCGTTGCAAAGCAAAGAATGAACCCTTTTGAACTTTGGGACCAGATTCGAAATTCTAAGCCTAAAAGAATAAGGTGAAGCACAACCGATACATTTCCCAATTTCTGTTTCTTGAGAAAAGCAGCTCCAAGTTGCACGAACACACACAGAGCCAAAAGCAGGCCAGAAGTACGAATATTAGACAAATCTGTGTACTACCTCTCATTTGGATGCTCGCTTAAAAAGACACTAAAGTCAACTATTAAATCGATGTTGACTGTTGAAATGGTGGTCTAGAAACCTCGTAGTGTTACTTTTGTGTGAAAGAAGGGCATATTTTGAAATAGAATCATGTTTTAGTGGTCCGCATTGGGTTAGCGCGCTTTAAATCGCCCGCCTCAAGGCGCGGACCAACCGGTCCGTCTCACGTTGCTGTTGTTGTGCACAACGTAGTCTGCTTTACTGCGCTAGTAGCAGCATACCGAAAGCAGTGGGAGCCACAGCAGCGAAAACGGCCAATAATCAATTTCCCTTCATTGGCTCCGAAATGCCTTTTGTGTGTCTAATTCTGGTGACTTCGTGCGACAGTCTCGCTACTGCGGTGACGTGAGGTGCCAAAAGTTGGGAAGTGGCAGATTGTGTGTTTGCAAAACATTCGAAATGCCTTTTGTGTATGCCAACGAAACTGCATTGGGGAGTGGCTGTGGAAATTTCATATCTTTTGCAAGCACATGACGAGAAGCTCATGCAGTGTTCTGATGTCAGGGTACAGTAGGAACCGCAAGTAGGTTTTAAGAACATATTGTAGTTACTTTTTCATCTCCCACTTAGCAGTACTTTTACGGTATTCTTGAGGGTGTGGCCTTTCATTTCACGCAGAAAGACTACTTAAAGATTTAGTGTCAGTACCCTTTTAAACATGCGATGTGGCTACATGGTAATGTATTAGGTTCACAATAACGTTTTTTTTTATTTAAGCAGTATAGTTAAAGAGCTTTTTTTACAGAAAGTGCAGTGTAGTCGAGGTTGTCTTTCTTACCAAAAAATCTGCGTTGACCATTCCTGGTAGATAAAAATAAGTATAGCGGCCGTAGGGTGTTATCACCTTGAGTTTTCTTGTGACACAGTTTAGGTCTGCACCGACAAGGGAAGGCACGCTAGCAATTGGAAGGGTAATAGTGTGTGCGTGCGTGCATTTATGCAGATATCGCTACTGTGTTCACCAGACAGATTAAGGGTTTTCCAATTTTCTTCTTCCTAGAACAGCCACAGGCGAACCGCACCGGCCGACGCCAAGCAACACAGAAGTGACATGACTCAGCAGGCTCGCATGCGACAGCGTAAGGAGGCGCCAGCGCTTAATAGTGGAGTGGCGTCCATCTTTGCCGAGCCCAAGCTTCCCAGCATCCCCTCATCAAACGTCACCATAAGGACCAAGCGGGAGCTTCCAGAGAAGCTTGAGGACCTACATGAACTTCTCTGCGATGGCAGCAAGGTTAGTGCATGCTCTCCTATATACTGAGAACCCTGCTTTCTGGAACCACTTGGGAAGACCAGCCTGCAAATGCATTAAGGTGAGGCTATATTATTAAGGGAATGGTGCTACCATACTTGTGGCGTGCACGTTCTTTGCTGCAGCGAGCGTTTTTTATTGCTCCAAGAAGCACGACACACGGACCAAGGTTTGTTTATTCTTGCTAAATATTTTAATATCTCCTTAAGTGAACAATTGTTGGTTTCGGTTTGCGGGCGCTGAGTTGGACAGTGATGTAGCAGTGTAGGTGGCTTGGTCACAGAACCACACAAAGCTCTGATACGCATCGTGCAGAGTATTCTCCACTCTCGCACACACATGCTGCACAAGCACCTGCGAAACGAATGTGGCGCTAGCTGCAGGAGCCGCGATGCTTTGCCATTGCATATGTGATGGATGTTCAGAGATCGCTCGCCTCGCTAATAGGGAGCCTACATGAACTGCCGTTTTTAGGGTAATGTCAGCCTTTGACCCACTACATGCCGCCAACGCACCGCCGCCCGCCAAAACACAATGTTGCCAGACAGCAACGCCGCGCTGTCGCCCCATCTTGGTGCCTGCACTGCGACTACGCCCGGTTGCGTTTAGTTCTCAATAATACGGCGTTGAACGTTGCGGTAGCGTGTTAAACGCTGCCGGTGAAGCCTTAGAATGCCTGGATGCTGCGTACCACTCTGCACTAACCATAACAGAAAGGGGGTGCGAATGTTCCGCTTCCCAGCGAGCCCTGGCCGACCACAACTATGGCTGGGAGCCCACCAGTGCGTCTCGTATTTGCTCTGTGAGTACTGCGTATTTCGTTCACTGTTTTTTTCTGCGGCACACGTATATGTGTTTCGCGGTGTTCGCGAATGAGTAGATGACCGAAGTTGTCGTTGCTGCGTCCACGCATTGCGAGTAGGAAGCCCACAAACGGGACGCGTCCGCGCGTTCGTACGGAGACGCGCTCGCTAGTCTGAGCTGTTGCCACGCTTGCGTTCGTGTCAGCGTAACCTCAGTATTATGTCGCAAGTGTTTGTGTGTGGGCTGCGAATTTCTTAGTGCGCTCACTTTGAGAACTGGGTCGCTTACACGACCCTGAGAACCACCGCTGTCAAAAGCCCAGGTGTTGTGTGTTGGCTGGCTCCAAAATGGCGGCGCACAGAAAACTATGCTGAATTTGGTGGAAGCTGGCAACAGCGTGCCCTGTTGCCCGCTGGTTTTGGCTGAGTTTCTTGAAGGCACTTATTAAGATGTCTCCACCCTAAAAACGGCCGTTCATGTAGGCTCCCTACTCGCTAAGATCTGGTGCGACGGCACACTTTTATTGCCCTGTTTACGAAACGTCATTGTTGGACGTGCTCTCGATAGGCCTTCATTGAGAGATCGAGCATTCAGGTACACTTTGAGAGTGAAATAAAATATATGCTAAACATTTTCAGAGTTTGGTTATTTGTGTGGAACCTCCTTGCAAACAGAGGAGACCCACACGAAATTTGTTTTGAAATTTGGTGGCGCCACCCCTCTAAAGGGCCAGTAAACAACCTTGGGGTCCAGAATTTATCAAGAGAAATATGCACACTTTTGCTATGTAAATATACTTGCAAATTTTGGGAATGCGTTTTATAACAAGGAAGCTACAGTGGCTAGAACATCAGTTTTTGTGGGTTTCAAGTTTTCGTGCGGCCTCGCCACTTTTCTCCGCCATAGAGAGGAGAAAGACTCAGCCCGTCCTCACGACTTTGCCCACTTTGGCAACATGACATGTCAGGGATGCATCGTCGGCGCGCAGCCAACCACCGAGCAGGGTATCCCCAACGTGAGCGCGTGTCAAGCGCAGTTCAAGAAAGCACTCATTCTCTAGCGGTAAAGTAGCAAGATGCCTCTTTATATCGGGGGCTTTTGTTTTGGCAATACCGCTTCTCCCGGTAGTCTCGGGCTCTACAAAATGGCAGAAGGCCGCACAGAAAAATGTGGTCATAACTGCATTTCCGCAGGGCCAAGGTGCTGTTTCATAGGGCTAAGGACCAATCAACGAGCTCAGTGGTGCATAGTTGCCCATCGGCAAGCTTTCGTCACGGTGCGTGTACGAAAAAGATTGGTTAGGTGAAGGAAACAAGCACGGGGTCATTTTTCGAAATGGAGTCTGCTTGATGTGCAGTGCTATAATATTGGGAAAACGTGAACGCCGCAGGGTATTGTACGAGTTGGTGAGCTTGTTTGCGGAGTGTAAAATCAAGTTGGAGCCAGTTTACTAGCGCTGTAACCCTTGCAATCATGGCACTGTTGCTTGATACCACACATCTCTCCTAGCACCTCGGAAGTTTGTGTTGGAAATACAGTTCAAAGTTCAAGTTCAAATGACTACCACTGTGTTTAACACCAGAATTTTGGCATGCTTACAAAGCAGTTAGCCACAGAGGTGCTTTATCAAAGTTATGGGTGACATCAAAGCGGGTAAGCTGAGGCTGCTAAGCACTATTTTCGAGTCAACAATTCTAAGCTGTCAGTTCGTAATACATCGACAAATCATGAGTTGCTTCACATTTTGTGTACTCTATTGGGTAGCAGGAATAGAGAAGCCGTAGCCCAGAAAGTGTAATTTGATGCAATGTTTGTTAACAAATATAAACTTGTATCACAGACTCAAATTTTTGTTTGTTGTCTCGTGGGAGGCTATTGGAAAAACGTGCACGAATAAAAGTTGGAAAAATTAACAAGTGAGAGTTAAAAAAAAAAGCAGTAGGTCAAGGAAAAATGGAACCTTGAAGCTGTGAAAAACTGGTAAACTTGAGAGTTGCTATAGCTGATGTTCTGACTAGTTCACTTGTCCAATTGTCCCCTCTAGTGACACCTTGAGTAGACGACGTTTTTATCCCTTCAAACATTTTTTCAAGGCAACTGATATTCCATTTTCACAAAAATGTCATTTTACGTTGATTTATATGCGTGAAGGCAGTTTCAATCAAATTGCATTTAAATGTTTTTTTATTCTGAAGTCGTTCATGCTGTTTTTTGCATAATTATAATCATATATCCGGCTAGAAATACAGTGCAAATTTCGCTTCATTTATGTCCGTGTTGCATTTAACAGAAGTTTTGTTTACCGAGGGATGAAGTGTTGCAATATTCACGTGCAAAACAAATCATATCTGAGCCACTTGTTCATGTTCACTGCGGCACGCTGTCCCTAGGTCTCGTTTTAAGCGCAGTGTGACCCACCATTGGGCTTCTCGGCACGTCTGCCAGGAGTGCCGTGACCCACCGGTGAAAAAAGTTCTGTAATTTGTAACCTCTTGCCACAAGAATCATACCTCTGTGTTCATGCGTGATGAATTGGTCCTGTCAGCAAAAAGATGCATGCTCGTTACATTGGGACTGCATAGGAGGGCCACTGGCCATGAATTGGCGGCTTGCACCACAGGAAACGTGTTAAGCAGCTATTCTGTTCAAAGAATTTTTGCTTACTGGTAGTCTACTGTACTAGTATATGCTTCGCAACTACTTGAACAAAACTGTTATGGGCAACCTGATCATTTATTAAAAGTTCTTGCTTAAAACTTCTTCATTGTGCTTTGGTTGACACCCTCCTGAAGCAGTTTACACTGACGCATTTATGCCTCTTTTCTTGTCAAGGGCGACAAGCAAAAGAAAGTCCTGTCGAACGCGGCGTCACGACCTGTTTCGACGTCATCCCGGACAACTTTCTCTTCGTCTCTAGGGACAAACCACCAGTCCAAATCGGGTGAGCATCCTGCATTACACATCTGCCGCAGTCCATACACTCCAACCTCGATATAGTGAACCTGGACCTAACGAAATATTGGTTACAACAAAGTAAATAAAAAATAGTCTTGCAATATAGTGCTAGAGGAATATACCTTTGTAGCAAAGTTTCGGATATAATGAACATCATTTTGTGTAGGATGTAGCTTTGTTATGAGGTTTGAGTGTATGTCCTTCATAACTAGCCAGGTTCTGTCTAATAATGTGCCTAATATTAGGAGGTGACAAATTGATTCTGCAGAAGCCTGCTGTGGGGATGATCCATCTGTCGCGTCAACATAAGTCGACAAAGCTTGTGGAGCTCACTCACTCATGAAATATAATTTGCACTTAGGACTCACTCTGAGTCACACTCGTGAATATTTTCAACTGGACTCACTCGTACTTATCGAAACATTCAACTGGACTTACTCAGACTAGCAGCTTGATCGAAGTCTCAGTGATTGAGTTAGTCAGCTCGAGAGTTTGCTGACCTATGCACCTCGCAGACTTCTGCGTACAGTGGAACCCTGATTACACGACTTCCAGGGGACCACACGAAACCGCCGCATAATCGAAAAACTAAGAATATAGCAATGAAACTCAGCCTTGCTACAAGAAATAGGTATAGACTGCCTGAATAAGCCCACGGCACGACCTTGTGCCTCATCAAGAAAGGTAGATTATAATATTTTATTCCAGCCATAGCTAATGGCAGCATAACTTAGTTGAAAGAGGTGCGAGTGAATCTCTATTCTGTTATGGCGTCTATTAGCCGGCACACAGCGAGTATACACAATGGTGACAGTAACGGCCAAGCACAGACTCTCCGCGCGAGAGGCGTTCTTTTTGGGTAGACCCACTAGAAAGCACTTCAGAGTTCGACCCATTTCATTGTTCGGCAGCTTCTCTACAATTACCCCGGGGTCGAAGAGCGAGCCGCCTGGCGACCTAACAGCTTGTCACTACGAGCGGGTCATAGTAAGCCTTCAGGCGCTCCACGTTGACTGTCGCACCCGCGGCGGCGCATGTCCGAAGATTGTTCAATTGGCTCGATAAGATAGTTGACCGAAGATGTACGATCGATCACACGGTAGGGACCTTCATATTTGGGAGTAGCTTGGAAGAAAGGGCAGCTACAGAGGTCTGGATTGAGAGCCATACAAGAGAACCAGGAAGGAACGTGGGCTCAGAAGTGGCGGAGCCATCACGAATACTCTTGTGCCGCTGTCGCTCATGCGTCGTAAATGTCTTGGCAAGCTCGCGACACTCTTCAGCACGCCTGGTGGTCTCAGAAATAGGTGTACACTCAGATGGATCCGGCGTGTACGGGAGTATCGTGTCGATGGTGTGTGACGGGTGCCTTCCGTACAGCAAGAAGAAAGGTGAAAAACCGGTCGTGCTCTGAGGGGCGGTGTTGTAGGCGTAGGTGACGAAGGACAGTATAGTATCCTAATTCGTTTGGTTGGCAGCGACGTTCATCGACAGCATGTCGCCGAGGGTGCGGTTAAAGCGTTCGGTCAGACCATTCGTCTGCGGGTGGTAAGCAGTAGTTTTGCGGTGGACAGAATGGCACTCAGTGAGAATGGCGTCGACGACTTCTGACAAGAAGACACGGCCTCGATCGCTGAGAAGCTCCTGGGGTGGACCGTGGCGCAGTATGAAGCGATGCTGTAGGAAGGACGCAACATCACGCGCAGTAGCCGCAGGGAGAGCGGTGGTTTCGGCGTATCGCGTTAAATGATCTACGGCGATGATGGCCCAGTGGACGTCGGAGGGAGTGGTCCATACAAATCGATACCTATGCGCCCAAACGGACGGTCAGGGCAAGCTAACGGTTGCAGACCCGCTGGTGACATGTGTGCTGACGGTTTGCGGCGTTGGCAAGCGAGACCAGGAGCGAACGAACTGCTGGACGTAGCGGTACATCCCGGGCCAGAAGTAGCTTTGTCGAATGCGATGGTAGGTTTCGAATACCCCAGAGTGCGCGCACTGTGGATCAGAATGGAAGGATTCACATGTCTCCGACCGCAGACTGCGGGGTATCAGGAGTAGCCACTGCCGGCCATCGGCGACGTAATTGCGTCGGTGTAGGAGGCCGTCACGAATGGCGATATGGTGAGCTCGACGACGCAAGGCACGCGTGGATGGCGTCGCGGATGGATCAGAGCAAGTCGATCAGTTGGGCGATCAAATCATCCTTTCGCTGTTCGGTAGCGATTATGTCAACATCAATGGCAGAAACAGCAACCGGGGGTACTGAGCAGAGCACCTCGGCCTCAGGCAGAGGGGAGCGCGAGAGGGCATCGGCGTCAGCATGCTGGCTTCTGTTGCGGTAGAGCAAGCGGATGTGTAGTCCCGTAAGCGAAGAGCCCAACGGGCGAGACGGCCTGAGGGATCCTTCAATGATGACAGCCAGTATAGTGAATGATGGTCGGTGACGACATGGAATGGGCGACCATACAAATAAGGTCGAAACTTTGTAAGGGCCCAGACGATCGCCAGGCACTCTTTTTTTGTGACGGTGTAGTTTGTCTCTGCTCTCGTGAGCGTACGGCTTGCATATGCCACGACATAATCAGGGAACCCGGGTTTGCGCTGCGCCAGGACAGCGCTGAGGCCTACATCACTGGCGTCCGTGTGCACCTCCGTTGGGGCCGTAGGGTCGTAGTGGCGGAAAATGGGAGGAGACGTCAACAAATGGCGGAGCTTCAAGAACGCGTTGTCGCACTCTGACGACCACAAATTGAGGGGCCCGTTACTTCCAAGGAGCTTTGTCAGCGGTGATATAATCGTGGCAAAGTTTCGTATGAAGCGTCGGAAGTATGAGCACAGGCCCACGAAACTACGCAGTTCTTTGACGGACGCAGGTTTTGGGAATTCGGCCACGGCCCGAAGCTTGGCTGGGCCAGGAAGAATGCCATCCTTGGACTAGACGTACCCTAGGATGGTGAGTTGGCGTGCTGCAAAGCGGCACTTCTTCAGATTTAGTTGCAAGCCGGCATTGCTCACACGTGCGAAAACTTCTTTTAGACGTTGGAGATGCGTGGAGAAATCAGGAGCGAAGACAACGTCATCGAGGTAACACAAGCACGTGTGCCATTTCAAGTTGCGCTGAACAGTGTCCATCATGCACTCAAATGTCGCAGGTGCATTACACAGACCAAACGGCATGACGTTGAATTCGTACAAGCCGTCGGGTGTGATGAAGGCAGCCTTCGATCGAGCGTCATCAGCCAGGGGTACTTGCCAGTACTCCGAGGGCAGATTGAGAGAAGAAAAAAATTGGGCTCCGTGAAGGCTGTCAATTGCGTCTTCGATGCGCGACAGTGGGTAGGCATCCTTGCGAGTGATATTATTGAGCCGTCTGTAGTCCACACAGAACCGCACAGAACCATCTTTCTTCGCAACAAGAACAGGAGATGCCCATGGACTGTCTGAGGGCCGAATGACGTCGCGTCGGAGCATATCGTCAACCTGCTCGTTAATTTCCCGGCGTTCAGCAGGCGACACGCGGTATGGACGTTGCTGTAATGGTGGATGGGCACCAGTGTCGATACGATGCGTAAGAGTGGACGCGCGACTGAGAGAACTTCGCCCGACATCGAAAGAACGGTATTCTTGCAACAGGTCTAGAAGCTGGGAACGCTGTACTGACGTAAGGTTGTCATCAATGTATGGGCCAAATGCATCGGGAGATGATGGGTCAAAAGTAGAAACAGCACTCGGGACAACGTGAGGCTTCGGGTACGTCCACGACTTGTGCGTCGTCGACTGGTTCCACTCTGCCGAGACATTCCCCTCGAACCAAGGTAACAGTGTACGGGGATGGGTTGGTCACGAAAATAGCGGCGTTGCCCTGGGTGATTTGCACGGTCGCGAAAGGTACTAGCAACCCTTTCCTTCTGGGAGCACGGTCGGATGGCGAAACGAATGCAATTGTGTCGGAGAGACCGGTGCAATAGACCGATACAACCATCGTCCAGCTTGGAGGCACTATAGTATCGTCTTTCACGAGAATCTTGCTCAGTGTCGAGGGACCGTCTTCTGGCGTCAAATGCGAGAAGGGCGAGAGTTCAATTTTGGCGGCGACACAATGACTGACGGCGTCAATGCGGGAGAGAAACTTCCATCCCAGGAGGACGTCATGACTCGCAGGGGCGCCTGTGAAAGCAGGCGTTTGGTGTGTAGCGACACCATGGACCCGAGCTAACGGGGGAGTTTCTACTCCCTCCCACGCCTAGCCGTGCGTGGCTTTGCCGTGTCTGGGGAAAAGGGGATCCTGGGGGTTGAGCTGACGCTGGGTGATTGGACCTTTAAGGCCCCCCGGCAGAGGCAACACACCCCTTTGGCCCCGGCTTCACGTAGACGGCACCCCTGGGCTGACCCACCCAGGGGAAATCGGCAGTCGCCTTTTCCTATCCCTCTCTCCCTGCATCTTCGTCTTTATCTCTTACTATTTATCTGTCCTGTCTTCTACTCTCTTCCGTTTACTTCCAAACTTCCTGCGGCTAGGGTTAACCCTGTGCAAATAGCCTACCTTGGTCTAGGCGCATTGGGTTATAGTGGCGTTGTACGGCTGGCGTCTGCAGTTTTCAGCATCTGTTTAGCGTCCCCTCGTTGGGCTCCGTGGTGGGTGGCCGCCAACGCTGCTGAACAAAAATAAGAAAGGCATGCATGGAGCATTCCCCCTAATTAATGTCTGATCGTGCCGGCTTAAAGCGGGTACGCACCGATGCAATTTTTGAATTTGTTCCGAACAAAAAAGATAACTTCCCCAAGTACCACATTATCCACTGTGAAAGTACAGAAAAGAAAGCTAGAAGTATTTCACCTTTCCTTGTGTCCAAATGTCTCATGGAAACGCTGGGTGCAGGCTACAAGGCCACAAAGACCGCCAGTGGTGACCTGTTACTTGAAATAAAAGACAACGCACAGTACCAAAGACTACATAAACTCACAGCATTTGGGGATCAGCCTATCACAATCGCACCGCATCGAACCATGAACACAGTGAAGGGTGTTGTATCAGATGGAGACCTGATGGACCTTTCTGACGATGAACTTCTAACAGGCTGGAAAGAGGAAAACGTCATTCAGGTGCAGCGCATCAAAATAAGAAGAGAAAATAAGGAAATCCCAATGAAGCACATCATACTAACTTTCGCATCTAGCACCCTCCCCACTGAAATAGCAACAGGATATCTTAAACTGCCAGTTAGACCATACATACCCAACCCGCGGCGCTGCTTTAAGTGTCAGAGGTTTGGGCACGGCTCCCAGAGCTGCCGAGGACAGATTACCTGCGCGAAATGCGGCACCAAAGGTCATACCGCTGACGATGACTGTCAGCGACAAGTGCACTGCGCAAACTGTGAAGGTGACCATCCTGTATATTCCAGGTCATGCGTGGCCAGGAAAATGGAAAAAGAAATTGTTAATACAAAGTTTAAATTGAACATAAGCTTCCGTGAAGCGCGGCAACGCGTTTCCCCGCATTTTGCTGGGAACACATCGTATGCCGAAGTGGTGCGAGGGGGGTCAGCACCACTTCGGTTTTCGGCAATGCCTTGGACCACGCCCAGCGTGCCGAGGCAAACGCCACAAGCCCCCATGGGGGGAGCAGCCTCGGCTGCCCCACCCTCCTTTAATACAGCCCCATCGAAGGCCCCTGCGAACCTTGGCAGCAGCCAGGGCACCACACAAACTAAAGAGGTCCCCTAGACCTCCAGCCCGGTGGGGTTTAAGGCTCCGTCTATCACGACGAAGCCTACAACGAAAACATTATCTGTCGTCTCTCTTGAAGCGATGGACACATCAACTGCACCGGCGCAGACTGCGCCAAAGGAGCGGCGGGGTTCCCTCGACTGCTCTAAAAAAGACAAAACGGTAATTACAGGGCCTTCTAAAAGCTCTGTAAGATAAGTCACTTCTCTCTTTAGACACCAGCCACACTCATTTCGTACACACAGCACTTCTTTACTCCCATAATGGAGACACAAATTATACAATGGAACGTCAGAGGACTACTTCGAAACCTCGACGATGTCCAAGAACTTTACATAAACATTCTCCAAAAGTGCTGTGTGTAGAGGAAACACACTTAAAATCCAAGAATACAAATTTTTTGCTTCAATATGTTGTCTTCCGAAAGGACAGAGATGATGCTGTGGCGTCATCTGGTGGTGTAGCCATTATAGTTAATCGAGGAGTAGCATGCAGTCGTCTACCACTACTAACATCCCTAGAGGCAGTGGCTGTTCGAGCAGTTCTATTGAATAAGCTTGTCACCATCTGCTCTCTATACATACCGCCGCAACACCGCCTGGAAAAACATGATTTCCAGTCTTTAATAGGTGAGTTGCCAGAGCCTTATTTGGTTCTAGGGGACCTGAATGCGCACAGCGGTTTATGGGGTGACTGTCGATGTGATGCACGAGGTCGTCTCATTGAACAGTTCCTCTTTTCATCAGGTGCTTGTCTGTTGAATAGAAAAGAGGCAACATATTATAACCTTGCAAACAATACTTACTCCTCCATAGATCTCAGTATCGCATCTCCTTCACTTGTACCATTACTTCAGTGGAAAATCATAAATAATTCATACGGAAGGGACCATTTTCCTTTAGTTTTGAGTACACCAATAACATATGTCCTCCACATGTTCCCAAATGGCTGGTGAACAAAGCCGACTGGGAACAATTTCAAAAGATTACACACCTAAGTTGGACCGACATATGCGGATTAGGCATAGATGAAGCTGTGCAGTACTTCACGGCTTTTCTTACTGACGCAGCAGCCAAGTGCATTCCACAAACATCTGGACTGCCCGGCAAACGACACGTCCCGTGGTGGAACACTGAGTGTCAAAATGCGCGAAAGGAACAGAACAGGGCATGGAGGTTGCTGCGCAACTCGCTGACAGCGGAAAACCTTGAGAGCTTAAGAAAATAAAATCTCGTGGCAGGAGAACGCGTCGGCAGGCCAGAAGAGAAAGCTGGCACAAGTTTTTATCAGGGATAAATTCATATACACAAGAGGCTAAATAAAGTCTGGGACATGGTTCGTAGGGTAGCAGGAAGACAAGTACACTCACTCCCACTCGTAAACACACAAGGTGACAGCCTGGAAGATCGGGCGAACTTCCTCGGTGCACACTACGAGCAAGTGTCTAGCTCGGCACACTATACTGAAGTTTTCCAAAGATATAAAGCAAGAATAGAAAAACAGAAACTAGAATATAAGTGCACAAAACACGAGGCATACAACCAACCTTTCAACTTAGCTGAGCTACAAACATCACTAAACTCTAGCAGTAATTCTGCACCAGGCTACGGCCGTGTAACGTATGAAATGTTGAAAAACCTGCCGCCTAAAACGCGAAAAACTTTACTCTCTCTATACAATGCTATCTGGCTTTCTGGTACCATCCCTGCTTTCTGGAAAGAGGCTATTGTTATCCCTATTTTGAAATAGGGCAAGGACCCTTCCTCAGTTTCAAGTTATAGGCCCATTGCACTAACCAGCTGCCTTTGTAAACTTTTACATTTCCTTGAAACACACAATCTGCTCGACCAGTTCCAGTGTGGGTTTCGAGAGGGTAGATCGACCACCGACCATTTGGTGCGTATCGAGGCACAGATCCGAGACTCTTTTGTTCACAAACAATACTTCCTCTCAGTGTTTCTCGATATCGAGAAGGCTTACGACACAACATGGCGTTTTGGGATATTAAGAGACTTGTCTCACCTGGGTGTGCGCGGTAGAATGCTTTACATAATCGAGAGTTACTTGTCCAATCGGAAATTCCACGTCCGTGTGGACAGTACTCTCTCCCAAACATTTGTGCAAGAAACGGGAGTACCGCAAGGTGGTGTACTTAGTTGTACATTTTTTATTATTAAAATAAATTCCTTGCACCTGTCCATCCCCCGCAACATGTTCTATTCCACATATGTCGATGACGTCCAGCTTGGCTTCAAGTCATGCAACCTAGCAATGTGTGAGCGGCAGGTTCAGTTAGGTTTAAACAAGCTCTCCAAATGGGCAGAGGAAAACGGATTCCGGTTGAACCCAGAAAGAAGCACGTGTGTCTTGTTCTCCCGAAAGAGGCGTGCACTCGGAACCCGACATTGAACTGAACGGTCAACGTCTGTCTGTCAATGCAGAGCATAAATTCTTAGGCTTAATCTTTGACAACAAGTTGACATTTGTACCACACATCAAGTATTTAAAAACAAAATGTTTAAAAGCCATGAGTGTTATAAAAGTGTTGTCACGTACTACGTGGGGTAGTGTCAGGCAATGCCTCATAAACCTGTATAGAAGCCTCATTCGCACCCGCTTAGATTATGGGGCCATTGTCTCTCAGTTTGCTACTCAAAGTGCCTTAAAGATGCTGGACCTCGTGCACCATTTGGGCATCCGCCTTTCTACGGGTGCTTTTCGCACCAGCCCCGTAGAAAGCCTTTATGTTGAGTCAAATGAGGGGTCACTTCATCTGCAGAGAACTTACATGTCCTTCGTTTATTTCCTTAAGGTAAAAGCAGACAAGAAGCACCCCTCATACTCTACTATTAATGATTTGTCGAGCTCAATTCTGTTTCAAAACAGGCCTTCGATGAGGCAGCCCTTCTCAGTTCGCCTGAAGAGTCTAGCTGAGGAAACTGGAGTCTCACTTGAACACAGTTTAATGGCTCTCCTGTAGCATACCCGCCACCATGGCAATGGCAGACTATAGACTGCGATGTGTCTTTTCTAGAAGTTACAAAACATGCGCCCATTGCCCATATTTGAACACACTTCTTGGAACTTCAACACAAATACACACGTCCTTAGTTCTTTACAGATGCATCCAAGTCTAACTCCTCTGTGTCCTACGCTGCTGTCGGCCCATCCTTTTCAGATGCTGGCCCTCTACATCCAGACACAAGTATCTTCACAGCGGAAGCTTATGCGATACTTGTGGTGGCTAAACACATCAAGCAATTACGAATACAAAAAGCAGTAATTTATACAGACTCCCTCAGTGTGGTAACGGCTATGCACAGTCTTAAAAAACAAAAAACCCTGTCCTTGTCTCACTTTACTCTATTTTTTGCACACTCTACCCACTCAACCAACATGTTGTAGTGTGCTGGGTGCCAGGGCACCGTGAGATCCAAGG